TTTCAGAGCAGCCTAGGCAGTTTCCTCTGCGAGTTTGCATCAGTAGTCATGCTAAAGCTGTCAAGAGCATTTAATAACTTGTTTCTGATCCTTCATGGGTGAGGCAAGCCAATCGCTGACTCTCAGGTCAAAGAATAGTGCCAGCAGAGCAATGGTTATGGTGTGAAAGCAAACCCATTCCTGAAGGACAGGTCTGCACTGGTGCCAACGCAGACACAAACGAGTATCTTCCATAAAAATATCTTGCCATGTAGGCATAGATATTTCATATTTTTGGAACGGCATGGTAGGAACAGTTCATAGAAGCCTAATTCCTGGACCATGTGCATCATGTTAGATATAAATATCACCAAGTCCCTCCTAGGAGCATATCTGCACCCACCATCAGTGCATGAGTGTGACAGGGTCCCACGGTCTCACAGTAGTCAGATGTAAGCTCTTCTCATGTTAGCTTCTCTTGTTCCTGTTTTAAGCAAGGTCCAGCCAGGAAAAAGAAGAACAGAGCAAGTATTTTAATAGAGAAAACCGAATACAGGCAATGAGCTAAACCAGAGCTGCAGACCACAGGGTCAGAAAGAAAGGGGAAGGAACCAAGCCATTCATCTGGTTAGCTCCATTAAACTGGTTACTCTGGAACATGCTGTGGCTTATTCCCAACTTCTCTCCATTATGCTTCACCCCAAACCATCATTTTGCCCCATCTCTAACTCATCTGCTCTGATTTTGTCTTTTATCTCAGTCTATAGAGCAAAGAGGCCTCTGGTGTCACAAGAACCAGTTCGATTTCCCTGAACGTCAGGGTAGCACCAGGGCTTTCTGGTGTCTGGGGAGGCTTCTCCTCTCAGACTTCACATTGAAGTCACTGCTCCCATGCCAAATTCCTGACACAAAAAAACAGCTATTTCTTGACAAATTAGGAGGCAGGGTGACACACAGGACCAACCACTTGGTGCTAGTATCCTTGTAAGAGGAGAGAGCAGACAATGTTCTCTGTGTATATGCAACCATGTGAGAACACGCTGAGAGACCACCTCTTGCAAACTAGGAAGAGACCCCAAAAAATACCAGCCCTGCTACAAGTCTTGCCTTTGGGCTTCTGGCTTCCAGAATCACACACACACACACACAAATAAATTTCTACTGTGCTTTTGGTTTGTTTTGGTTTGGCTTGGTTAGTGGAACTGTACCCAGGACATTTGCATGAAGCTACATTCCAGTCGTTTTTATTTTTGAGACAGGCTCTTGCTAAGTTGCCAGACTGGAGTTGAATCTGTGATCATCCTGCCTCAGCTGAGATTACAGGTATGTGCTACCATGCCTGCTAAATTTCCACTGTTTAAACCACTCAATGTGTGTTATTATTTTTTACAGCTCTCTAAGCAAAGCAAGAAATCGCCAGTGCATTTAAAGCATCTGGAACATAATGAGTCAAGTATTAGTTTCCTTAAATCTTTCACATATCAGATACAAACGCTTACACTTCTCCATTTGGAGACATCTCAAGGTCATCTAACATGAATACTGTGTATCCTCTTCTCTCGTCACCTGATCCTGCCTGATCGTCCTCCCAAACAAGGCTGGAAAACTCCATCATTTCTTCTCTGGCTCACACCTTACCCCTGAGTGTCTTCAACTTTCTTTGGTCACCCTGATAGATTCCTCTTACTTTTGCTCCTCTGCTGCAGATCCTACTGCAAACACTTCCTCTTACACTATTCTGAGGCCTCTTGACTCTCACTGATGCCAGGAGTTCTCCTTGACCAAGTCTCCACCTTGAAAGCCATCTAAAGTCTCTTCAAATTACCAACCTAAAATCACACCCAGAACCTTCAGGGACTTTCCAGTACTGAGAATTCGAGGTTGCCTGGTCACCAAATAAATAAGAAGCATGTGCTAAAATCTTTATAGAGTCTCTAAAATGGTTCAGGTCTGATTTTAAGGGGAGAGAGGGAAGTGTCGGGTAATTTAAAATTAGGAAGTGATACTAGTTCTCTAAAACTGTACACTCTATACATATACTGTATAACTCAAAAAGCATAAACAAGGAATCCAGGTCATTAAAACAGTCATACAGTTTGGAGGAGTCTAAGGCAAATGACTTTCATTTCCTTAAGACAAGGAGGATCTTTGAAGCTATCTGGTTGTCAATAGTTTGATGCCAACATATACATTTCTTTCCTTCATTAATTCACTTAAAAAATGTAAGTGTATACCAAGCACAAGGCTAAAAAATGGCCTTCCCAATGAGCAAGCTCCAAAATAGACTGAAGACAGACAGGGATGAGACTTTGGATTCTAGGTAATTCTCCAACTTTGTGGGTACAATAGTTGGCTGTCAGGCTGGGGATTTTGCAGAACCTCTCTCTCTCTCTCTCTCTCTCTCTCTCTCTCTCTCTCTCTCTCTCTCTCTCTCTCTCTCTCCCTCTCTCTCCCCCTCTCCCTCTCTCTCTCACCTTTCTACTTCCTTCTCAGCCTTTCTTCATTGAAACTTTAAATTGAATTACAAACCAGGAGCTCAGTCTAGTAGGAGAAAGGGAAGGAGAAAAAGAAAGACAGAGGAAAGGGGAGCCAGAGAGAGATGGAAGGGGATGGGGGACCCAGATCAATACATTTCAGATTAAAAGAAAGGCATCCAAGAAAACACCAAAACTGGCCTCCTGGAGGCCTGGCTCTCACAGTAGGCTTTGGTTAAAATGGTAGAAGCAAAGATGCTGGCCATTTTCAAGGTTCCTGCCATGTAGTTTGGGTCAGATGGTGGAGGGAGAGAAGACTTGAGGCCCAAGAGAAGAGGTGAAGCCCTGGAGGTCCAATTCCCCAGGAGTATTCCTGCTGTCTTCCCAGCAGTGACTTTTCCCATTGCACCACCACTGTCTAATGTATGCTCCAAATCCTTCATGCACCTCATTCTATTGTTTCATTTTCAATTGTTGTATCCGAAGTGTTCGTGGAAGCCATTCCAGCCTCACCTTACCTAATTCCTTCATGAAACTGTGTTGTCAACAAAGCAGCTATCAGCTACCTTTCTGAGCAGATTCTTTGGTGTCATACGGCTTCCATTCCAAATCATAACTGTCGCTCCCCATCTCCCATCTAGCTCGTCACATAGACAGCTTCTGCACCTTCCCCAGTATGACGAAGACTGTGTTGGTAACTATACCCTGTACTTCCACATTGAAGATGAACTTCCACTGCCTGTCAAAAATGCACGTGGATTCTTAAAATTCCCCTCAGAAACTTTGCAGATGGTTCTTGAAATCTTTAGTTATCCCTTTTCTAACAATCTTGACTTGGCCAAAGACAGACAGAACTTTAAATGGGAGCAACACTTGTGGCACTGTTTATTGAGTCAATGGATTTTTTGTGATCTATGAAGTCACTGAGTCATAAATATTCTGCTCCATGTAATCCAATCACCGGTATCTTCTCCAACTTATGACCCAGAAAACTCAAAATTGCTCACTTACTAGCGAACAATGGTGTGAAAACCTAAGACAGACCCCAGTTTGACACCATGTTCACCCTTAAATCCTGCCTACTGCTGTCCAAGAGTAGCATCCACACGACTTAGACAGGACTTAAGGTAAGCACATAGTGTACCACTGCAGCAGCGGCTCTCAGTATTGCTAGAAACATTGAAGTGTCTATTACATAAACAACTTGGGGGCGGTGGGGGGAAGCCATATGTTGCTGGCTGAAGATAACTGATGCACAGCACAGCTGAGAACCACCGGGTTAGAGGCACTGGTGTGTTCCCGTAGCACCTTATGCTTACCTATTATTTAACCTAAGTCCCATACAGCTAAGGGCATTATCTTGACTCTTAGCTTATTAAATGATTCATTTTTAAATGACTAGATAAAAGGCAGGGAAAGCCAGGTGATTTTGAATGACACATTTTGTTGGTATGGTGGGAACATTTCAGCAATTAAACAACTTTGGAGGTTTTGTTCTTTAAATACCAGGTTTTATGTGCTAAGACAAATAATATCAACAAGCATAAGGAGGGGAGCGGGGAAAACCAGGAAATGAGGAAAAAGAACTGTAACGGGTACATGTAACCACTTCCTAAGATTGTAAAGTATGAATTGCAAATGTGTCCTAATCATTAACAGAATACTGTAAATATGGCAAATGAGATAGTAAACACTTTTTTTTTAAAAAAAGTAAACCTGCCAGAACAGGTAAGTAACTCCTGAGTTATGCGTAAATTTCTGCACATTACAGAGGGGGAACAGCACATATTTCCATGCAATGAGCCTATGCAGAGGAGGTACTTTCCAGACCCATATCAGAGCACTAAGCTTGTAAAGCAGCACACTAATTTTAAACTGCTGTGATTTCCCAATCTCATGAACACTCATTCTGTCATAGGGCTGAAGTGCCACAGATTAGCTGTCCCAGAGGGCTACAGCCAGTGTTACTCATTTATTTGTTCCCAGTCTTAAGGATCTAGGTAAAATATGCAAACGAAGTCAAACCAGAGCTAAATTAAAATCTAGGGTATTTACTTTATTATGGAAACGATGTAAGTCTATGAAAAATAAGCATGCAAACTATAAAACTTAGCTACACAGCAGTTCTTCTGTTGCAGGACCCTGTGGTTACCATCCAAGTAGGCAATTCATAAAACTTTACAGTGCTCTTGGTTCTGGCCAGGAGTTATTCCAGACATAAAACAAACAAGACAGTAAAACCACTAAAGGGCCACAGCCATGCCTCTGCTATAAAGTGACTTGTGGTGATGAACAGGGAAATCAAAGAGCAAAGGAGAACCGCATCTGCCTCATCCTTACATATCATGGATATTCAGCTCTGCTGGATGAAACCGCTGCCTACAAGGCCATCTTCTCCGGCCCTGCACGCAAACGCAAGGTCAGGAGGCAGGCAAATCCAAGTTTGAAGAGCTCACAACAGCCAAAACAAATGATTCTTCTAAAAGCTATGCACATCTGTTATTTAAATCATTAAAACAATGTTCCAAAAGAAAAATAAAAAGGTAGTACTATGCAAAATATTTTATTTTTATGGATAATTGTAACTAATACAGCAGGAAATGATATGATTAAAAAATATATCAAAAAATCATGTCAGCATTCAATAGAAATAAAAACCTGAGCTGAAAGTTGATATGAAACATTTGGCACCATTGTGACAGAGGGTAAGAAACACGTTCACAAGCCTTCTTAAAATATTTCTTGTAATACAGAAAAGGTAAGCTTTAAAGCACTGACATTTTAAGTGACTTTTGCTGTGGACAAACATTTATCTAAGATAAACTGATTTCTGAAGCTCACAATCTTGAAGGCAGGAACATCTCTAGTAATGCAGCAAGAAGCAAGCTGAGATTTTGTTGGCAAGATGTGGTTTGTTTACTCATGTCGGCTGGCTCAGCTGAGCAGAGCACAAGACAGTGCCCAAAGAGGGCATGGGAATGATGACCATCAATCAGTTTCACCTTCTGGAAAATAAGTGACACAGGAATAACATCATGACAAATGAGAAGGCTTGTGGGCTAGTTCAATCCTTATTTTGGATTCAAGATCTCTGATGAAGAACATGGTGAAAAGCAGACATTCTTACAATGTATCTGACAAAAACACAGAACAAAAAGGGAGGGAACAGAAGAAAGCTAAAACGGATGGGCTTTGCTGATTGATAATCTGGGAACTGAACACATTTTATTACACTGAATCTTGAATCACATCATAAGCCAGTAGTTAATATACTAAACTTTACAAACGTAAGTGCTCCAAATTTGTTGCAGAACTTCAAAACTAATGATTTTCTTTTCCCTTTAAAATTGTTCCTTTCACATGAAGTCCTAAAACTGAGTAATCATCAGTATGCCTGCATTTTCACCAACGTGTTGTGAAAACAAGACACTTTTGTTAAAATGATGCAGAAGGGAACTTCTAATGAGGTCAAGGATCTTATATTCTATCAAAACATTTTTCTTGTCTTCCATGTCACAGATAAAAAAAGGGGAGCAGCTGGACTCCCAGTTTCAGGCCTCATTAAATCCTCAGTATCTTCATGCCAAGTAGGACCGGGTATCTAAGTGCTCTACTAGGAAGTGGCCCTAGTTCTAAACACATGTCCTCAGTTCTCTGTGCTCCGTGTCACATAAAGTGAAACCAAGGTGGCTGGACCCACGCAGCATCAGCCTATGTCACTAAACCCCCAGTGTCTCCATGCTAGGGAGGATCCGATACCTAAGTGCTCTACCAATAAGGGTCCCCAGTTCTAAAAGCGTATTTTCAGTTTTTTCTGCTCCATGTCACATAAAAAAGACATGAAGGCAGCTGGACCCACAAAGCATCAGCCCAATGTCATTAAACCCCCGAGGCCTCCATGCTAGGGAAGGAGTCAGTATCTAAGACCTCTACTATTAAGCCTTCCTTGTTCTAAGAGAGAGCTTTTCTCTTCATTTTTTATTCTTTTTAAAAAGGCCCGAAGCAGTGCCCTTTCCCTGGCGGAGCCCAGGCGCTGACTTCCGTCCTTTCCCCGCTTTCCAGGAGGTCACCAGGTGCGGTTTTGCCCTGATGGTTGTGCCCCGGCCTTTGTGGGGCTTCTCCTCCTTATGCACCTTCACGTGCTGCCTCAGGTGAGAGCTCTGGCTGAAGCACTTGCCGCACTCACTGCACTGGTAGGGCTTCTCCCCGGTGTGGGTCCTCTGGTGCTGGATGAGGTGGGAGCTCTGGCTGAAACACCGGCCACACTCGTCACACTGGTACGGCTTCTCCCCAGTATGGATCCTCTGGTGCTGAATGAGATTGGAACTCTGCTTAAACCTCTCTCCGCACTCATCACACTTATAGGGCTTTTCCCCGGTGTGGATGCGGCGATGCTGAATGAGGTTAGAGCTCTGGAAGAAGCTTTTCCCACAGTCGGCACATTTATGGGATTTCTTTCCAGTGTGGATCTTCTGGTGCTGAAAAAGGGTGGAACTCTGACTGAAACTCTTCTCACATTCTGTGCATTTGTAGGGCTTTTCATCCAAGCTTCTTCTCAGCCTGCTCAAACCCGAGTCGAATAGAATGGTCACCCCCCATTTCTGACGGGGTCGGGCTGTCTTCCGCTTGCTTTTGTTTTCATATGCTTTTCCTTGGCTTGAGCCCCGAGAAATATTCCCTTTAGGTTTTGCTAGCCTCATGGTGAAAAGCCAAAGGAATCTGTCAGTCTACTGTCTTCTGAACTAATGTCGAATTTCCTAGAGCACCTCAGCTCAGTATTTTCTGTGTGGAAGAAAAAAAATAGTAAATTATAGATGACCTATTGTTCAGTTTTAGTATCTCTTCAATTCTTCAAAATGACATTCATATTCAACCTAAATATGTGTTTAAGACAAATGAAAACAAAGTTAACTCTGGGGGAAATGGTGGTTAAGTTTAATTAGTATCATCACATTTGAATTTACTATTGGAGTTTTTGTCTATTGGGAAAAAATTTTTTTTAAAGCATTATCACTGGTGTGGTGGTGCATGCGTGTAATCCCAACACTTGGGAGGCTGAGGAAGGAGGATTGCCAGGAGTTCAAGGCCAGTCTATCCTACAAGTAAGTTCAAGTTCAGCGTGAACTACACACTGAAATTTGTCTCCAAAAAAAAAGCATTATCAAGTAAGTACACTATTTTGAAGGACTAAGGGGGCAAGAAAAAAATGAGAAGATATACTTTCGCACAGTGTGTAGTTGAGTATTTTTTATGTTTCTGATCTATTCCCACATCAAATTACTCACTTAACAGTGACTAGGAAACTGGCTTGTCCAAATTTGAAAGACAGGATAAATCATACTACATGATATACTCCTATTCTTGTTTAGTCACAAATAAGGAGGTATAGAGGATTATAAAGCCTAGTTTGAATAATTTATCAAGATAAAAAATAAAAAGAGCTGGCAGAAAAAGTGGCTCAGTAGGTGTAAAGGTCCTGGGTTTAATCCCCAGTACTGGGGAAGCAGGGAAACCTACTTTGGAAATTTTAGGTTCATTGTGAATCTAGACAAAAGTACTGGACAGGAAAAACCTCAACGAAGAGACACATTACTTCTGCTTTTTTTGGATTCAAATGACCCAAGAAAGGAGAGAGAAAATGCCAACACATCTTTTTTCAGTTAAGCATATGTAACTGAGTGGGAAAAGTGTGGTAAGTAAAACAGAAAAAGATTGAAAGTAATTTTCATGTAAAAATAGGATTAAATACTCAAGTGTTTAAAAAAGTTTATAAATTCATTTTATTTACTCTTATGGTTGTCTGGAGGCTATTTAAAATTACCTAAATAAACATGCAAACTAAAAACCCCAACAACTCCAAATAGGTGGCAGAGTAGGAGAGGTCAGGACTGCAAAATAAAATTAGTTAAACTATTTTCTGGATTCTGGGTCAAACTGTAGATTTTAAAAATAGGAATAATTGCCCTGGGTTTCTTTCCAAATAAGCACACTGAACAAACAGATGAAAATACACATAACGTCATTTTGCTTCATTATGAATACTGGAGACTCCAGGTTTAACAGTACATTGAGGTTTTTCTAAATATTCAGCAATTATATTCGCTCTAATTATGGCATCCCAAATCGGAGACAGCAAACTACATATAAAAGTGCAAAGAGTGCATTTGTCATCCATTAATTCCATCAAATATTTACAGAACACTTGCTACTCAGGAGACACTGTTACGTACATGCTGTCCAAAACATACCTATCATGGTAATTTTTTTTTTTGGGGGGGGCACATTTTTATTTTAAAGCTAAAGCAGTCAAATGCGGCGGGAGACTCCAGACGGCCAGGCCCACCCCAATGCTCAGTGCAGCGCCTTTTCCTAGCCCTGCACCGCTCGCGCCTCCCCGTCCTTGTCCCACTGTCAGCCCAGGAGAGCAGCGACGCTCACCCTGCGGACGGGCTGGGGCAGGGCCGCGGCCTGGGAACGTCTGGCCGGGGGCGGGCCGCGGCACAATGGATGCACTGTGGCCCGCGCGCCCAAAGAGGCCCGAAACCCCCAGCCGGTTTCCTCCGCCTCTGGCTCCAATTCGCCAGCGCCAGTAAGGCCTCGCCCCACCGCCCGCGGCAGGACGCTCCTGCTCAGCCTTCCCGCCCGACTAAGCCGCGAGCTCGGAATCCCGCGGCAACCCGCACCAACTCACCTCTCCCGCTACCGCCCTCTCCGGGCCTAGCGCCCCGCCGGAAGTGCGGGCCGTTTGCCGCCTCCCCTGCGGTCGCTCTAGGAACGGGGCGGAGCGACCCTCAATGGTCCTAGCTCACGGCTGCAGCCGCCTAGCTGGCGGAAGTCCGGGCCATTGCCTGAGTGACGCTCTAGGGTCCCGGTCCGCCTCGCCGTTCCCGCAGCCCTCGCCTCTCCTTTCCAGTAGCTGGAAGAGCGACCGCTCTAGGAACGAGGAGGAGCCCTCTGTGGCCACGGCCTCTAGCGCTTCGCTGATTGCCCTGCTTCATCTACAGTGCCAGCTGCCAGCACTCCGCTGCCACTCGTGAGGGCCCGCCTGGCCTCCAGACGGATTCTGGGTTGCAGATATTAGGAAACCGCAGACTCGCGCATCCAGTCGATTGTCCAGGAGCGCGTCCGCTTGTACAGCGGACCGCGTGAACTTCGCTGACCTGGAGCCCGCCCCCCCCCCCCGCGCCCCCAGCAATGCATGGCTTACTCCACCCGCAAATTCTGCAGGGTCTCCCTTCATATACAATCGCGATCCAGCCCCTGTCACCCTGTGCACACGGAGCTAACTCCATTATGCCTGGATTACTGCTTCGGCTTCCTGACCTTTGACTCCATGATCCTCCTAAAACCCAAGTCAGGTTGGGGCATCCATCAGTTCAGAACCCATCAGCCTTCCCCACCTTAGAACAAACCCCAGCAGCCACACTGCACTCTCAGTGTTCTGAGCAGCCTCTTGTCACACTGCGTGTTTTCACACGTTAGGTCTAAGGGCTAAAAAATGGTGCCCTACGGCTGCAGGCACTAGGGGTTTGTCCCACTAATGGCTTTGTAAGGCTCCTTGCGCAGAGCTTTTCTTCTGCCATCCATCTTCAGTCTCAAGGAGTGGGGACCATCACATCTCACCCTAACCTTAACCTTCAAGAGGCCCCACTCAGGATGGGCTTCCTGCCCTGCAGCTGGTGAAGCTTTAAGTTGGGCCACTTCAAGTTCAAATTCTCTGAGTTCAAACTGAACTCAGAGGCGGCACTAAATATGAAGTTTAAATGGGAGATGCTTAGCCCAATGCAAAACACATAAGAAATTGAAGCCATTTGGTTTTTATTGTTAAATTACTACAAGCTATTGGTGCTGGTGGTTGGAGGGGCTGAAGGTAGCCAGAGATGCCAGCGATGATTTCTCCAAATTTGAAGGCCAAAAATGATCTTCTAGGACTGTTTGCTTTGTGTACATGAAAATAATAAGCAATTTTTTCTAACACACATCATAGTAAGATGGGACCTAACCCTTTCGATATCCCACACTGCCTCTTTTTCTCAGGCCTGAAGACAACTGGGCCAGCCCCAGAGGTGTACAGATTAGAAACTGGGTGAGGATTTTAAAAGAGAGAGGCATAAAAATCAGGAGGAAGTAAAGGGGAGTGAATGGTGGGCAAGGATGGAGGTAAGGACAGGGAGAGAGATCAGGGTCAGAAGAGGCTGGGGAGGGAGAGGAAAAGGGAAATGGAGAATAAACGGGTAGGGTTTATGTCCCCAAGTTATTTATCACTGCTATAATAGTTCACCTTGACAGAGAGCTTACTGAGTCCCACTCTCACTGGCATCATCAAGCACTCTCAGGTGTGGCCGCCCTTCCCTGGCCACGTTCTCTGGCCCCACATTCCTGCCTTTTGCTGTCACCCAAGCCAAACTTTTGTCCACAAGGCCCCAGTAAATTGCTATCCTAGAGTTGTCTTTGTCTGATCTCAGTTCACCTCTTCCCTCTGGCAGCTGGTTCTCATCCACCAGGACGTGGTTTTTCTGAAACACCACTAAAAGTTACACATTTTTATAAATAGAGGCAGACTTGGAAGCCAGAAAGTTGGGAATTCCAGGTTACTTTAGAGCAAATTAAACAATCAAGAATGGTCACATCTGAAACTTAGGAAAGAGAATGGAAAGAGTGGAGGTCACAGTTTGGGGTCCTAATTGTATCTTCTGGGGCTAGGAGAAGCTGACAGAGCAAGGACCCCTCTGTGGTCAAGGCGTCTCTGGGAAGTTGGGGCCACAGTGCCCCTAGTGCAGTGTTATTAGATGGGTTCATGCTAGGAAAAGCACCTACTGGCTGAGTGACCTCCTGGCAAGACACTTCCTTCTCCCATGGTCCTGCACCTGTCCCTGTGCATGTGTTTCTGTACACATTTGCTATCTCACCAGCATGTTTCGGGGGGAGGGCCGCTGCCCTGGGTCTGTGTTGGCAGTGCTGACCAGCAACCCAGGGGAAAACAAAACTGGCCCTGTGGCCTGAGGCACTGACTAGCATGGTCACTCTCCCCGAAGTGGACCCCTCAGCTCAGGGGCCCTGAGCAAGGTTCTACCTACTATGCCTGAGACTTTGCTTTGCTTCTTCTGGGCTCTCAGTGCAAGGAACCCTGGGAATTCTCACTCCTGCAGAAAACAACCCTGTGCCTGCCCCAGGAGGACAGCCCATGCCTGCTGCATGCTGTGACCGCTGGGCACGTTGGTAGCTGGCTCCCACCCAACCACGGCTCGTGGCCTAAATATAGCGCATGCAGCTGGCTGTTGTTGTACTTGGAGCTGCTTGGCTTTGACCTGGCTTCCTGTATGGTCACTGCGAAGGGCCTGAGGGCAGAGGGCTGCTGCTCACCTCTGCACCTGACCAGGAGGTCCCTTTGCAGCTGTGGGCACCCGAGCTACCATGCATGACCATGTCTGGCATCGTTAGTCCCTCCACCAGTCACCTGGTTGGGCTGGGTCAGCCTTGGCTTTGTTCCTGGGAGCTCAAGGCCCGGATGTGTCCCTGGTACATGGCTTTGTTTTGATGGTGAAAGATCTTTAACCTATTTTCTGGTAGACACTCCAAACAAGCAGCAAAGTGTTATTGCAGCAAAAAAACAAGCTGCTTTTGATTCCTCTGGTCATTTGTTCTGAACAAACAACCTTGTTTTTCCCAAGTTCAGTCCTTTTGCAATCATGTTGATCTTATCCAGTGATGTTTATCATCCTGGCAGCAGGTTCCCTAGGCTGGCTGGGAGGACAGTGCAACCTAAAAGACAGCACTTTCTGACAGAGATCTTAGCTTTACCTTGGATACCTGGACTATACGAAGCATGAGGAGTATATGGAGCCACAGTGTGAACCAAATTAGACAAAGTGGTACCCCCAACCAGCTGCAGCCGCAGCTCTGACAGACCAGCAGCTTTCCTGAGAACCTCTAGTCAAAAGCCTTGCAAACTCCTCCAAACACTGCAGCAAAAATGATCCCCTTTTCTGTGCAACTTGAAGAGACTTTTCCGAGCCATGATATTCGTATCTATTTCCAAAGTGACACTCATCTGAAAAGCCTTTAAATCATACTTTAACAATTGCAAAAATATATACAACTGACCAGGCTGGTGGTAACAGGGGGTTTCCTGCTCAGATGGCATCCAGAGCCCCGGGTCATGGTGCCTGGGCAGGCAGGGGCTTGGCCTGCCACACTGAAGACTGCACCCCAGCCAGTGCCATGCAGCCTCAGCCTTGGTCCACAGCCTCCTGGCTTCTCTCTGCTGTCTGGCCAGCTGCTCCTGATGATAGTTCTGAGACAGGCCGCCTGGGGCTCCATCTCTGTCCCTTGGGCATCTATCCATTACCACTCAACACAGGACAGGAGTGGTCCATGCCTGAGACACAGGTGCAGAGTCAACTTACCCAGGGCTGCTGCCTGGTGTGATCCCATCCTCTCCTATGCTCCTCCCTGGATGGCCTGAGCCCCTTTGGGTGCTCAGAGCCTGCAGTTCAGGGTAGCCCTGCTGCTCAGCCACCAGCAGGCCCCTGCAGTATGTCCTCCTCTATGTCTCAGGCCACAATGGTCTCAACTGGGCATGGAAGCAAGGAGTCTGTCAGTGTCAAGTGGTGGCTGCATACACTGTGATATAAAAACTTCCAAGAGCTGGGGCCACAGTGGACACACTGAGAGGCAAAGACAAAGACAGCCTGGCCCTCGTGTCCACAGCTCAGCTCAGCACAATTTTATTGAGCCCTATGAAGTCACTCTGTTGGAGAGGACAGGCAAGCACACTGCACTCCTTGACCACAGAGCTGGTCCAGGGAGCCCTGGTGCCCACAACACACCCAGAGTCTCCACACCGTGAAGTGCTCCCTGATTCTGCCCTATCCTGAGCCTGTGTGGAGCTGCTGCAGCACTGATACAGAATCTCTTCCATCTCCACAAGCCTTTGTAGTTTCTCTGGGAATCCATCACCCTCAGACCTCAGTAAAGGAAAAGCAGGGGCTTCAATTTGCAGTTTTAGACAAACATCCGCACAGCTGTTATCAACTGCTATAGAGTTTTGCAAAGCCTTCTTCATTCAGTCCACAAATTCTCCACCAATCAGCAAACACATTGTTCATTGTCTGGCCCCTAGGAATTCAAAACCCTGTCTCCCCAGATGGGTCTTTCTCCTCATTACCACACTCTGATGGAAAGTACTGAGTCACTCCCACCACTGTAGCAGAGGTACACAGACATCCCTGGGGCTTCGAGATGGGGTGAGCCCTGCGTTCCAGAGCTCAGCTGCCACCATTCCCATGTTCCCCCAGAGCCGTGGGGCCTCCTCCCCATGGGCTCAAGTTGATACTTGCTCCAGTTGTAAGTGTCTTTGGGTCTCACTGTGCACAAAGACTGACTCTGCAGAGAGATGGGAGCAGTGTGATCTTGCTGGTGACCCAACCTCTGTGCTGCGGTGCAGGGCTGTGGCTTTGAGGGCCAAGGTCGCCATGGGGAAAAGAGGGGTGGAACATGGCTTTCCACAGCAGGGCCCTGAGTGGCAGCAGGACACAGGGATAGACAAGGCTCTCATGGCTCCTGGGTGATGAAGGCATGGCTGGTGGTCTGTGTTGGGTGCTGCCCTCCTTAGCAGGGGGTGTGACATGCGTAGGACTGGCCACATTGCTCAGCCAGAGAATGAGGCTGGTGCCACGGCTTTAGGAGTGCTCACTCCCTAGGCCACTTCCCGTGCAGCCCCTGGCTGAAGTGCCCCTGGCTCCCAGGGACTGAATCTGTCCCTTGTGTGCTCCCAGGGGAGCGGGGCCCTCTGCACTTAGGCTTTGACATATAAGAAGCATGGGCTCTGGATTCCACAGGCAATAGTGTGATCAGAGTGACCAGTCAGCCTAGCCATTGGGTTCTGTGGCACTTGTGGCTGGGGCAGTAGATGGAGCGGCACCAGTGGCTACTTGGCCTCCACCAGCTGTGCCAGACGCTCTAGCATTGTGAGACGCAGGGCTTGGAACCTGCAGGGAGATGGAAACAAGAACTCACTGAGGCTGGGAGAGAGCAGAAAGAGGGGCACATAGGTGCCTGGCCCAGGGACTGGTGCTCCCAACACTGTGTTTCCTTTAGCAAAGAGGAGCAAAGTCTACTAGCTTCTGTGAGGAACTATTATCAGGGCTGTAGACTGCACAAGCAGCAGGCAGGGTACAGTACATTCTATTCCTTAGACGCCCTAGTAGAGCTGGGAGGTGCCAGGGTGTGCAGGGCGGTGGTAGGGATTAGAAAGCTCATGTTCCAGCCTGAGCTCTGCAAATAACCTATGCTGCACCCTTCTTGGCCAGAGTTTCAGTGTCCTCTGCACTCTGGAGTCTGCCCAGGGGACTTCTGGGTTCTTTCTAGCTCTAAAACTCCAGTGGCCTGACCAGTGCTGCACTAGGAGGTTCCCTCTGATGGGGTCCCCCGAATGGCTCTCTGGGTAGTTGACTGCATGGGTGGGGTGGGGGTCACTCGAAGCTGGATTACAAGCCAGACTCTTTCAGGCCTCCAGTGAGCAGCAGTCCTCTCCTTCCCGCAGGGCAGATACTTTCTGGGTGTCTGTCTGTGCTCTGCAGCTGAGTCACCTGCAGAACTGGAAATCTTCACCCAGTGGGGACTGCATGCTTGCCTCTGCCTTGCTGGGTGACCATCCTAGGTCTGGGTGGACAGCAAGCCTGGGTGGGCAGTCTGGGCTGCATCCCCTCTGTTCAGGCAGCTGTTACCCCAGAATGCTATCAGCACCAACCTTGGGGTGCCCGCCCGGCAGTGGGGTGCTCTGTGTGCCCAGCCCAGTGTCAGGACCTATGGCTGGCTGTGAACTGCCACTTACTTCATGGTCAGTTTGATGATTTCTCTCTCTTCCTCTTCTTTTAATTTTTCAACAAAACTGTCCAGCACAGGCATTTCAAACTTAATATACTGAGCAACCTAGAAAATCCAAGAGCATTTTGATATACTTTATGCAAGAAGTCCAAGTATGCTTTCCTCTCCTCCTGGCTTCCACAGGGGCAAGGCCACCAAGGCCCCAAGTCCACGGAGCTGCAGCTGCCCCCTTTCCATGTCCCCTGTTCCCTCTGTACAGACAGAATGAAATTTCTTTATCGCACAGGCAAGGCTTATCCCCAGAGGAAGCCTAGAGCAGATTACAAGAAAGGCACTGGGTTCCTGAGGGCAGGAGTGGTAGGAACTGATTCTAACAATGGAAGAAATCCGACCAGCCAGTGGGGAGGCCCAGGGAGACAAAGCTCGACCCTCTCCTGGGCCCCAGCCCCAGCCCTACAGGATGCTGAGCCAACTTAGGGAGCATAAAGTGTGTTAGGGCCCAGCTAAGGAATGCCACCCTCCCACCCCCACCCCGTGAGAGGCTCTAATAAAACCAGGCACCCTCTGGTAGAGGAAACAGCATTCCATACTACAGATGAAAAAGAACGGGCCTTGGCTTCCTAGGACCCAGGCCCATCTTGGCCTAGGCCAGCCAGGAAGATAGCTCCACATGGGACATCACCACTGAAGGCCCAGCTGTCCAAGGCCACCTTCCCGCCTCCCCCACCCCATGCCCCAGATCTCCAGCCTCAACTGCACTCACGTCATGGGGAACCTCCTCGCCCAGGTCTGCCTCCATCAGGAAGATCTTGACAATCTTCTCGCAGGGCCCATGCAGGATCCTGGAAATCAGCGGGTACTCACAATCCTTCAGCTTTGTCCGCTCTGAAATAGAAGGCCACTCTCACAGCTCACAGGATGTTGGGGCAGTCTCTTCCCCAGGACAGGAGCCTAAAGGGCAATGGGCAATGAGAGGCTCCCTAAATCTGCTGCCCCCAGAGATGGAGAGTCTGCCGAAGGACAGCAGAGCAGGCCATCCCATGCCAGCCACCTCAGTGCAGGGTTATTGCAGTGACTGTGAAGCACAGACGCAGAGAAAGCTTGGTGTCCTCTTCCTACCTGCCTCAAGGCAGGGCAGAGTTTGTCAGCAGGATGTCCCCTCTCTCCATCAGGAAGTAGAGGAATCTGTCTTCAGAGACAGCTTGGGACCCTCACCCACTCAAAGTATGCAACAGAAGAATCTCCATTAGGAAGCCTGCTAAAAACAAGCCCTGTCCTCATCTGTCACATGCATCCTCGCCTCTACAGTGTCACCGGGAGACATAGCTCATCTCCTATGTCCCAGCCCCTCCTTTGCCACATCTAGGGATCATCCACTGGCAACACTGGGTGAAACCAGCTATGCAGCAGCAAATCTCCTCACTAAACCTCAGGGAAGCAATCCTGTCTGCCCTGCCCACCCCACAGCCCTGAGCTCCCGCAGGGTCACTGAGTGAACCACAAAGGATGAGGTGAATAATCCCCCAGAGTAGGGGCCTCTTTGAGGAGCAGGAGGCTGTGACCCCGCCAGCCTGCAGCTTTGATGCCCAATGCAGGCTACGATTCAGTGTCCCTGAAGTAGAACCCCCTGGGAAAGGCATCCCTGAGACCCCAGCCCCTTCCCACCTCTCCAGTCCCTGTGCCCCTCTCTGAAACTGAAGCCCTCAGCCTCTTGATGGCACACTCTGACCTGAATGAAACTGTCTGATTTGCAGGTGTCCCTGGGCTCTGCAGTGGCCTGTGAACTCAGGTTCTCCCATCCCTCGGGTCTCTGTCTCGGGTTCAGCTAACTTACAGGGCCATGGATAGAAGGAGAAGGCTTTGTTGCTTTCTCAAGCATCACCCAGCCAAGGCCCCCTGGGACAGAGAGGAGCAGAGGGGTAGGAGATGGAGGCAGGAGACATGGGCTGGGTGCCAGTCTGGTAAATGGCACTGAGGGGACCTGCCGGTTCTAGTCTGCAACTCAGCCTCACAGCCCTGCACAGGCCCCAGACAGCTGGCCAAGTTCCCATGAGGTGGACACAACCTCCATTTTATGGGATGGGAATTCTGAGAGGGATGAGCATGGTGGAGGAGCAACATGGTCCAGGAGAGAGGTAGGGGCTGCCAAGGAGCTGGGAGCTGGCCACAGGGACACGGGCATTCAGCTTTCCTGCTGCTCAAGCAGAGGCTGGTACTCACCCCCAGACTCGTGGACCACATAGAGTGCAAACTCCCCAGGGCCATCTTCCACCTGCACAGAGGCCACAGCAATGAGACCTCAGGGGTTTTTTTTTGTTTTGTTTTTGTCTTTGTCTTTTTGAGACAGGGTCTCGCTATGCAGTTCAGGCTGGCCTTGAGCTCACTTTGTAGCCTAGGCTAGTCTCAAACTCACAAGGATCCTCCTGCCTCAGCCTCCCAAGTGCTGGGATTACAGGCATGAGCCACCTTGCCCGGCTATGAGACCTCAGCTTTGTGAACCAAGAGGAAATAGACAAACCCTGGCACAAACTCAAGTACCCAGGACCCAGCCTGCTCTGCCTGAACCCCAGGGCCCTCCTTGTAACTCGGTAAACCCTGCCAGCCTTCCACCCTCCCCTTCCCAGCCCACCACCCAGCAAGGCGCCCACAACCCTGGAGCAGCACCCACGCCGTGGCCCACTCACCCTGAACTTGTTGAGCAGCAAGGTAAGCACCTGCTGCGTGGTCATGGTGCTGTTGACCCTCACGTTGGTGACAGACCCATAGGCAGGGGTGAACACGGAGGTCTGTGGGAGAAGGGTGGCTCAGGGCAGGTCCAGAGGGGACATGAGCCAATGGTATGGTGCCCTCCTCTGGGCACACTGTGCCCTCCATGCCAGATTTGTCCCCCACCCAGGGTGCTCAAGGAAGCTGTTGCAGGGCATCTTATAGAGGATGCTAGGAGATGCCCACACCCCATGGCACCCGGGCCAGCTCTCTGCGCAGCCCAGGAACCAGGCCATGGAGGTGATTCACGGGATATGGTGCTGGACTCCTCTCACTCTACCCAGCAAGTCTCCACAAGTCTGCTGATCCCAAGGCCCAAGGTCCCCTTCTGTCCTCTCCTCAACCTTCTCCCAGTGGTACGGAGCAGAGCCTTGGGTCCTACTGCAGCAGCCCCAGTGCGTCCCATTTCCCTTAGCCCATTTCCTCCACCTTTCCTATTGCTGACCAAGGTGCCACCTTCCAAACCTGATTCCCCAAAGTGTGGCACAGGCCTAGCTTCATCAGCCTGCTGTACTGTGTCCCCTGCCCCTCCCTGGTGCAGCTCCTGAACCAAGTCAGCACTGGGTAGAGAACACCAGGGCACGTCCTCCACACAACACAATTTGCCAGAGCACGTGGGAAAACCATGGTTCATCTGTAGGCTTCCACAGCCATGCTGTGCCACCCCAGCTCCCCAGTTACACACACAACACCAGGGTTCCACCAAGCACCCTGGGCTTCCTCACAGTTTTGGAGGAGGCTCATTATAGTTGTGTGTGTGTGTGTGTGTGTGTGTGTGTGTGTGTACACAGGCGCATGTGTGTAGAGAAGGAGAGAGAACTCAAAAAGAGTTTCGCACATGCTAGAGAATGTTCCACCACTTAGCTACTTCCCCTGCTCTTGGTCTGGAACATGCAATCTTTTTGCCTCGATGTCCTGAGTAGCTGGGATCAAGGTGTACACCACCACACCGAGCATTTGTTCTTGCAAGTATTGTGCTTTGGTCCATGAGACTCTATACAGCTGGTCCACAGATAGGATAATTCACTGCACAATTTCTTAGTTTCATGATGATGTGAAAACAATACACATTGAACTGCGAGTTGTGTAATTGAATCTTTTCCCAGGCTCGCTGGGAAATGTGCTGGGAATGTGCTGCAGGATTGTGGCTCCCAGTGCAGGCAGTGGCAGCCAGTCACAGGCCCACCCATCAGCCACAGGACCACTCCAGGGACAACCAGGACCATAGTCACTGCAGCATCCAGGGAGGCTGTTTGGTAGGGTGGGCAGATGGGATGCACCTTTATCTGAAGGTATTTTAAATCTATGCTGACTGCATGGGACCTACCTCATTTGAAGTCGAGGGCATTCGTACATGAAGTCACCCGGGACATGGCCTGTGTTGCACAGTCCTCAGTACCCACCTTCTGGACAGTGCCCCTGCCAACACTGTACATGCACTCTCTGATTTAACCCTCGATGCAGCCTCTGATGTACCTAGAACAAGTCCCCTTTTCTCAGAAAGGAAACACAGGTGGGGAAATCAGAGAGCTGGTCAGGATCACCCATCTGAAAGGACAGCTTCATGACCAAGAGTCCTGGGATGTCTGATACCCCAGGGGTGGTAAGAGAAGCCTGTGCACCAGAGCTGAACCCCAGTTTCATGCATCTTGGAGCAAAGTTCTCTTTTTTCTAAGAACACAGAGAGGCTACACCCAAGAACATGGTCTTTGAAGATGTTTGAGGATTTCTTTAAAACAGCATGTTAATATTTACTCAAACACTAACAAATGGTGCTTAAGCCTTCACAGACAAAATGTCATTGAGAACAGTATTTAAAGGACACCCTCTGGCCTTTCTGTGGCCTCACTACAAAGTTTGCTGGGGGCCAGGTTCAGGAAAAAGGGCAGTGGTGCGATGGGACAGTAGGGTACCTCAACTTGCCAAGCTGCGAGCTTTCTCCTAAGGTCTTGCATACTCCCAGAGTCACTTGAGGAGTCCCTGCAATGTCTGCCCTGCGCTGCTGCTCCTGCTGAAGTGACCCCTAGACATTCCCCCTCCCCCACCCATATGTCATCCAGGAGGGCAGCTGCCCAGCTGGGAACCCCTGCTCCGTTTCCCAGCGAAGCAGGATACAGCCAGCCCAGGCCCAGAACACTGGGTCCGGCCTCACCCAACTGCCACTCCTTCCATTTATAGTAACAATTCCTTCTCTTTACAGTGCCTGTGTTTTCAGAGTGATGTCATAGGGGAAGGCAATTGGTTCCCAAGGTCAGGACAATACACACTTGGACAAAAGGCAGTGCTGGGAACCCAGCCCAGCCAGGTTCTCTGGGAACAAACAGGGCCCCTGCACACTCCATCTGGTCTCACTCTACTAGGGCAGGGACACAGGATACATGCTGTTCCCATGAGACGGTTTCCTGGCTTGGAGAAACCTCCTAGAACTGGCCTCACCGCAGATAAACTTGGCATCTCCGCCTGCCTAAATCCCCAGGGCTTGGAAAATGGACAGATGGTGGTGGGTGGTGGGTGGTGAATAGTGGGTCTTGAGTGGGACTCTTTTGGGGGTGCAACTTTGGGCAAGGTGGATCTCCCCTAGCCACGTGGGAATGTCACCTTGTGATTGTAGAAGTGCCCATTGATGGAGAACCGGTGCCGCCGGATCCGCTGGGCCTCGCCGGGCGTGTGGCGCTTGGGTCGCCTCTGGATCATGCCACTAGCATCACTCTTGGTCCGCATCAGCTGGGGGACCTCCTCGTCTTCCTCTGGGGTCCCTTAAGGGAGAGAGGGATGAGCACTTGGCTCCTGGGTCACTCCTGCAGGAGGCTGTGCCAGGGGATGGTGGAATTCCAATCTGCAGAAGGACAGGATCACCATGCCACAGCCTCCAGTGTGTTGCAGCCCAGCAAGGGTCCTCTGGGCACTATTCTGGGGCAGGTCCTTCCCTGAGTGGTGAGGGAAGGACCCAAAGGGACTGGAGAGGTTCTGGATCCTGGAGTGCATGGACCAGGTCCTACAGTCTGTGCTTGGGCTGAGGCTCCTCCTCTGTGCATAGTGACGCAGAGCAGGACACTCAGGCCGCTGACACTTTTCCATTCTGTGAGGAGCTTCCTTGGTGAGGATCCGAGAAGTTGCCCTGAAGATTAATTGAATGCTCCTGGCTGTTCAGCAGGCTGCTCTCCCACCTGCCATGTCCCCATGTCCCCTTTCCTGCTCCTCTCGGAGTAAGACACATCCCAGCACCTCGAGGGCTCCACTTACCTGAGCTGTCCCTGGAGACTGCAGCCTGGCTTGAGGCCTGGGCATTTGTCTCCTGGGCAGTGACTCTGCAGTCCTGAGCAGAGGACTCCTTCCTGAAAGGGACCATTGCAATGTTCAGGTGACCAGGCACAAACAGGCAACTCAGCTGAAGGAGGAGTACCCCCCCATGCCTGGGGCAGGACACAGGTGACCACAGGGTGGAGGCAGGTGAACTTCCAACAGGAAGGGAAGGTAAAGGCTTCCTGGCCCTTTCCGAGAGAAGCATCCTGGCCTACTGGGCTGTGACCTGGGGACACACACATAGCTGGCGACCTGTTTTGAGCTGCGCTCAGCCAGGTCAGCATCAGTGCAGCCAAGTGCCTGGAGGCTCCAAAGGGCTGGGAGAGTTGGCAGAGACAAGGCCAGGACCCAGGCCAGGGAGCCCAGTGATGGTGTGGGGAGGAGTTGGGTGTGGTCCAAGCACAGGGATGCTGGGAGGTCCTGGGGCTGTGGCCAGCCTGCCTGGGACAGTCTTCCCACCTCCGGGTAGTCTTCCTCATGCCCCACGTGTGTGCAGGGAGGAGGGACTCAGCTGTGCAGGGTGTAGATGGACAGCAGGAGTCCCTGGACAGGGTTGGGCTGTGGGCTTCCCGGGTGGAAGGTGAGGTGCCCAGGGCTGGAAGGCATCACAGAGGTCCTAGCCCACCCTGTCCTGGGACTCACAAGGGGCAGCTGGGCCGTGCAGGCAGCCACAAGGAAGCAGGGAGGTGCATGGGTTCCCGGTCATCCTGCATCTGGAGGCGGATGGGCCGGCGGAGCCCCCAGGCAATGTTGAGGAGCCCCTCGATGATCAGAACCCCTTCCTCCTGTGGGAAGCTCTGGTTAGCTGCACCCCCTGGGTCACCATCCCCCTCCCTTACCCAAACACACACATGTGACGTGCCCAGGGGCCGGGAGGGAGTACTGAGCCAGGTGTCCCACAGAAACTGGCAGCTGCTCAGAGGCACGTCCACACTGTGGGCAGGAAGTGCATCCCGGGGAAGCTCAGCCTGGCCTCTGCCCACACTGCGCCAGGCAGATTCGGAGCTCCCCTGACTCTCTCCTCACTGGCATGGGACTCTCGTGAGCAGAGGGACTCTGGGACTTCATCCCCTCTGGCTGAGCTGCCATGTGGGTCTCACAGTTTGCTGGTAACTGTTTCTAGTTTCAAACATGCGCCATCCACAGAGGAAATCACCTACTTTAGGGTTATCAGCAACACACTCGGCTTTCTGATATGACCTTGCACTGTTTGCCAAGAAAGAAACCAAACAAGAATCGCTGGGAGCTCCTTTTTCCTCTTTGGTACTATGGTTTGAACCAGGGACCTTAAGACTGAGCTGTATCCCCAGCCTGCCCACCCTCCCCTCATCTGTGATCTCTTCTGGCCCAGGGCACCAGCTGCTTTTCCAGAACACCGCTACCTCCTGCAGCCCAGGGGTGAACCCTTCATGGCCGGTCAAGTGTCCCCGAGCCTGGTGTCCAGGGTGGGCTGGAAGGGGGCTGAGTCCTATGACTGAGCTGCCTGCACCTGAGGTGTTCAGTGGGCCAGGATCCCTAACCAGAGGCTCTGAGGCCAAGGCAAAGGAGGTGGTTGTCCCTTCTCCCAGGGATCAGTGGGCCCAGAGGCCAGCACCATCCTTTCCTCTTTGCTGGGCCCTGTGTATCATCAGAGGGGGCCACCACGGGTGGGAGCAGTCATCCACATCTGTAATCACAGCAAGGAAGGAGGCTGAAGCAGGGGGATCACAAGTTTAAGTTCCGCCTGGACAATTTAGCAAGACCCTTTCTCAAAATTAAAAAAAAAAAAAAAAAATGAAAGAGGGCTGGAGGTTGAGGTGGGTTCAAAGGGCAGTACCAAAGAAAGCAGAGTGTGGGGCCGCACATGCCGAGGCTGGGCTCTGAGAGACTCCAAGGGAGACCTGGGCTGCGGTGGAGGGCAGGGGAGGCCCTAGGCAGGGAGGGTGGAGGTTGCCATGGGCAGCCTGAGGGGCAGCTGTGCTGGGTCGTGCTGAATGTCCCTACACAGGATATTCCTGTGCCCCCACCCACCCACCTCCGCCTGCCCCACCCACATGGAGGGGCCACGCTAGCCTAAAGCACTCTCTGACCAAGTCGGGAAGGCTGGGCCAGGGCAGCGTCTGCCAGGCCACAGATCACAGGATGGGGAGGGCACACAGGCGGTGGCAGGACTGTCACCTGGGTCTCCTGAGCCAGGTGCACTACGCCCAGGAAGGTTGTGAAGTTCCTGTATCAGAAGCCACTCCAGGGCTTTAAGTCCTCTTCCTCCCTGCTGAGCCTCTTGGTTAATTAGCTCATGGGTAAAGAGCCAGAGCCACCCACACAGGCTGCAGAGAAGCATGAGGCAAGGGGCTTGCCAGGTACACCGAACCCCGGTCTGCTCTCAGGCACCCACAGGGAAGCCTCCCAGGTCCCATGCACTTGAGGTCATCACCTTCCCCTCCTTGCATTGGAACCCAGGGTTGATCTAACCCTTGTGTCTGGGCGGATTGCCCACGATCAATCGTGGGAATGGTGGTCTCTCCACTGCACATCCCCACTTGGGGGCACAGACAGGTGTGGCCCAGATGTGCTCTTGGTGAGCTGCAGGTGAGCTCCAAGTCAGCTCTGGGCCTGTCTGAGAAGCACATGGTGCTGGTCCTCAGCCATCTCCCGGGCGGTGGTCACTCTGAACTTCCCAACTTTGCTGTGGCGCCCCATCCGGCACCCCCAACACAGGTGCTACAGCCAGGACAGAGCGTGGAAGCCAGAAGGCAGCCCTCCTCCAGATCCTGCGGAGTCCTTCACCGGCTGGGGCGTGAAACCCAGCGTCCTCACCAGGGTCCTCTGTCCTCCTTCTGCATGGGCCAAGTGAGCAACCCTGCTGGCCTGGCTGTGTCTTGCATATTCAACCCAGGCCTCTGCACCTGCACCCTTATTTCTCATTTTCACAGGGAAGAGATGGTGTTTGTCACATCTCAGGGAGGGACAACTGCAACCACCCGGCCCTGGGGTACTCCGATTGCTCCATGCAGCCGTCCACAGTGCCTGCAGCCCCAGCACCTGTGCACTGGTGATGTGATGGTCCCCTCGCAGGGCCGCCGTATCCTCAGTGCCAGGCACAGAAGCAGCTGGTCTGTAAGGGCACCTTACCTTGAGGGTACCACACCTGCAAGGGCTGCAAGCCAGGAGCAGACCCTAGCAGGCTGCCACCTGCTGGGTATATGGCTCTTCTGGGCCTGGGAGCTGGAGGGACTTCTCACTGTGTAGTGAGAAGCGCCCGGGACAGGCAAACCCTAAGCAGCCCTGAGGGCCAACAACATCCCAGCTGTCCAGAGGCTGCTGCAGGCCGCCCAGATGCCCCGCCCACCAGGCTGTTTTCCTCTGGGCGGCTCCCTTCCCAGCACAGCTATTTCTGGCCCAGTGACAGTAACTGAAGGCAGGAGGAAAGGTATAAAAGCAGCTGAGGGCCTCCACTATTCAGCAGGGGGAAGTCTTTGCCTGCCACAGTTGTCTGCCTTGCAATCCACCCAGACACAGCCTGGCTTTTGATTCCAGCTCAGGACCAGACTGTCCTTACTGTCACCTCCCTGCACACCAGGTCTCTGGTCTCCAGGTAAGACAGAGCTGCTGCCTGGAGCTTGAGGGAAGTACAGGGCACCCCTGGCCAGAGCTCCCAGCCTCAGTGTGGTACAGATGGCACCCAGCAGCAGGGGCAGCAGTGGAGGGCACAGTGGAGTCTGCTGGGGGCTCGTACAGGGTGCTATTTTGCATATTTCCTAAACGTCCCTGACAGGGTGTCTACATATGGGTGGGCAAGTGGAGGCTTAAAGAGGTGCCTTTTCCCAAGTCTCCAGGTCAGTTAAGAGGCAGATCTTGGGGGGTTTATTACTGTTATTTCTTGATTTTTTTTTCAGCACTACTGGGTATTGAACTCAGCACCTTGGTGCTAAGCTACATTCCCAACCCTGTTTTATTTTCTCTGACTCACATATGTGTACTTGGGGTCTCTCATGGGTGCCAGATCTCGGATGCAGAGATGACAATGCCAGAAGCAGGAGGAGAGCTCTGTTCACAGAAGTGACGAGCCTGGCCTGGGATCTGAGGGCGGGCACACGGGAGGAGCGGGACGGCATGGCAGGCCCTCACCCTTGTGCGCCTTGGCCAACAGGTCACCACTATGCGGTCTCGGCTCCTGCTGTCAGTAGCCCCGCTGCCCACCATCCGGGAGACTTCAGAGGAGATGCAGCCCACAGACCCAGGGCAGGAGCCCCTGGCTTCTCCCAGCCTGGAGGACTACGTGAGGTCTATCTGCCAGCTGGTGCAGCCTACTGCCATAGTGGATAAGGTCACTATCCAGGGCGGACTCAGCCGACCCCACCAGGCAGCTCAAGACAGAGACAAGAGTCCTCTGGCTTCTTCCCCCCAGGAGATCTGTGCTTCCTTCAACGGCCGAGAGCCCACACTGCCCTCTGCTGGTGCTACAGACCCACTGGACTGGCTCTTCGGAGCTTCCCAGGAAAAGCAGAGCAAGACTGACTCTGCCAGGCCCTGGAGCGAGCACAGACAGGCAGACAGCATCAAGGCCAGGACGCCAGAGGGGTCTCTGGTGACGCCGTTGCAGCATGGGCACCACAGTGCCAGCCTGCAGAGCCGGACTTTCTCAGCCTCCCACTGCAGGCCCCGACCCAGCAGCATCCTGCACACTGTCTACTCACAGCTCCCTGTAATCCACGAACTCTGAGCCTCCTAATAAAGGCTTCCACCCCCACAGCAGCTGTCCCTGTCATCTCCACCCTCCTTGCTGTCCATGGGTCCTTGCAGGCTCCCAGAGGGACCATTGGGGTCCCAGTCCTCAGTGAATTCCATATATCCTGCAGGGTGAGAGGGTGCTGCTACCATTGGCTCTGTCTCTGCTGGCTGAGCACCCTGAGCAATTTGGGGGTCTCTGCCCCTTGCTTTCTCATGGTGGGTGGAGGTAACCAAGGGACCCATCACAGACACCTTTGAAGTGAGTGCACCACCATGCTCTGAGGGGCAGGAGACACCACAGGTAGGGAGGCTGCGGAGCAGGTCCTGGGCACCCCAACCTTGGCCCACACTCTTAGGGTATGCACATGGGCTCTCAGCAGAGGCTCCACTGGGTACACCAGGGGACCCTCCTGCCTCTAGCTTGTAAGTCCTATTGTGGTCCTTGAGAGTCCCCAGGTTCAAGGTCAAAGCTCCACTCAAATAGCCCCAGGGTATCAAATCCTGGGACCTGGTAGCCTGGTCTTCACCTGCCCCATGCCCAGTGTCCTCGCTGAAGGGTCCACTCTTGGCTGTGAGCTCAGTGCGGGATCTTGTCTGGCCCAGGTCTGTCCACATGTCCAAGCCCAGATGTCTCTGATTACTGGAAGCCACTAGCAAGAAGGGAGTACACGTGGGGCAGGGGCAGTGGGACTGCCTTCACCAGGGAGGTGAGGGTCAGGACCCAGGATGGCCGGAGGGGCAGTGAGGAGAGGGCAGAGCTGTGTCTGCCCACTGGGTCTTTCTTTATGTGTGAGCATGGTTATCCCCACTGCCCGAGACTTGCTGAAGGGTTCTGTCCTCTTGTACATGTCCCATACACTAAAGAGAAAGCTTCACCCTTCTTTATCTGTAAAGTGAGGACAGCAGCATCTGCCCTCACCCCAGGGCAAGGAACTGCACAGTGAATGTGGGGTGCTGAACACCTCCACAGCAGCCTCAGACCTGCAGGTCCCTGACCTTCAGCAAACGCAGTCACGAGGAGAATGGGCCTGGCTGGTGAGCCAGCACACTGTCAGCAGACCCTCCATGTTCCGAAACCACGCTGTAAAGTGGGGGCTGGTAAGGTACCCCAGGCTTAGGGCTCCTCAATGTCCCCTGGTGTGAAAAAGTTGACCCAGGAGAGTCCTAGGCTCAGGCCAAGAGACCACTCAGCTCACAGGATGCCAAGTGCCAGGCACCCCCACAGATCACAGAGAGAGTGGGAGGAGGGGCTGCAGCAGAGCCCCAGCAGCCAAGGGCAGAAGAGCCCAGCAGAGCTCCTTCCCCTCCTGCTGAGCCCTCTGTGGGAGCCTGCTGTCACTGTCACCATCACCACCACTGGCTGTTGCAGTAGGAGAGGCGGGGCCACAAGCAGCTCCTAGAAAGCAGATGTGCCAGGGGTCAGCTGCTCACACCAGGGCCCAGTGATCTCTCCAAAGGCAGAAGAGAGACCAGCCATCCTCCGGCAGGCAAGACTGAGTGTGTTACACACTTATGGCCACCAGGGGGAAGTCATGAGCCTCTGCAGCATGCCTGCCTGTCCAGGCTCCCACTGCCCTGTGGGTGATGGGTCACATCCACAATGCAAATAGACATCAGCCAGCCTGTGGCAACCTGCACAAGGCACAGATGCTCTTAGCAGCTCACCTCAACAGTAGGACAAACACAACTGTCCCAAAAGCAGGGTCACAGTGAGCGCGGCTGGTGTCTCCATCTCTCCCATAGGAAAATGGGAGAAGGGTCACATTTGTCCTTGGATACTCATCACCCCCCACACTCTGCTGACACTAGACAGGGGAGTGCAGGAGAAGGACCCCTTGTTCACAGACTGGGAGCGCAAAGCCAGGTGCACCTCAGCTCGGTGACCAGAGCAGCTTTGTTCAATGACACTCAGTAGAGATCCCAGGACCTTGACCCTTAAGGCCAATGACAGCTTTGCTAGGCTATGAACAACTAGGCTCAGATTTCAAGGCCACACTAACTCCAAGATGACCATGGACTAAAGACTCCAGCTGCAAGGGTCTTGTTTCTTTGCCTGGAAAATGATTATTCTGACATTGTAGAACTTTTGTATCACAATAACTGAAAGAGAGACAACATGTGGGGTGCCCTGGGATGACCCAGAGGGATGTCTGCCTGCCAAGGGAGGCCAGTCTGGGGTGGCCATGGAGTCCGTGCCTAGTGCTGGGGGACTCAGGGGTCCCAGAGCCCCAGGACGTCCCAGGTTTGCAATGGGTGGGCCAGCGGCCTCAGTGAGAGTCTAAGGAGTGGGGTGCCCCAGAACCAGCCCTCCTCATCAGCATCTGCACTCTGATCCCCCTGTTGTAAAAGTGGTGTCACCACAAAAAGGCATGCACTTCCTTGCTGGGAACCCCTGATCTGTGAGGGCTGCAGAAGGCTCCTGAAAGGGACTTTCCAGCTCAGTGGAGGTCACATCAGGCTTCCACCTTTCCTCCAGGGCTGGGAACATGAGAACCCCACCATAAGTAACTGCCTACACTGCAGGCTGCCAGGAAGGCCAAGTGGATCCCATGCACAATTGCAGAACCAGACTGGGTGCGGTTTCCGGCCCAGCTCCCCACATCTTTCCTAAGAGGTGGTGCTCTGAGGAATCCCTGGTGCCACGCACAAGCTCTCACTCATGGTTTTCAGGCCAGACCTGCCACTGGAAGGCCTGAGGGGCTAGATACCCTGGGCCTGGGCAGGAAGAGGGAGGAATCCACACTTCTCCCTGCATCCCCAGGCCTCAACACCAAAGTTCCTGGCACAGACACCATACAAAGGACCACCAGAGCCTTGGAGGGGCCCAGGACCCAGAACAAAGCCCAGCTAGGGGATTCTCTGACCACAGCAGGCTCCCACAGGGTCTGCAGTGGGCCACAACTTCTCCCTTGGCAGAAGCACAAAGATCAGAACCCCGTGGCCCATTCACCATACTCTAAGAGCTGCCCACACAGGGAAGAAAGGAGTCAGAGGAATCCGAGATGGCCAGGCAGTGGGTCAGAACCCTGGGAGAGGCAGGGTGGCACTGGGGCAGGTGGCATAAGACAGGCAGTGGGGGGACAGATGAGGAAGCTGTCAGAGTGCTGCCAAGGCCCAAGTGGGAGGAAACTAAGGGGAAGTGGGCATGAGGTCTGCACCCTTCTGGGTTGGCACAGGCGGCCTGGGTCACCTGCCCAGAGACCCCGAGCAGGGAGCTCTGTGGTGGGACCCATGACACCAGTGCCTACTGGGTGCCCTGTCTGGTGCCTGTCAGGGGATGTGGGCTGCAAGTAGCTGATGAAAGATGGCCCTGATGAGGTCCCTGTGGGCTCCTGTTCCTACAGGTGACAGCAGACGGGGACCTGGACCTCACTGGCTGCTCAGATGCTAATGGCTGGGAATGTCCAGCTGCCAAGGCAATCTCCAGATACAAACCCACCACAGGGAGATTCAGGGAGTTAGACCCAGATGGGGCACAGAGCTGTGACCAAGGCTGCCAGAGATTAGAGGTGCACTGTGCTGGCTCAGTCTCTGGGCCTCTGCTCCTATGCCCTGAGGCACAGTCAGGAGCACAGCGGTGCCAAAGGCCCTGCCTGGCCTGGCCACAGTCTGTTACAGCCAAGGGCATCTCAAGGCATGGGAAACCACTCGTGGGCACCATCTCTAGCTTCTTTTGAAGTGGGGAAGGGTCTACTGTACCAGGCCACATCCATTGGGCAGCCACACACAGGATCCATGGGCTGCTGCTGCTTTGGGCTGGGGACTCCTCACACATCCACCCTGCCAAGCCCTGTGACCTGGAGTGGTCCGACACCCCACTTCCCAGTTAGGGGTGTCAAGGAGTAGGGAGACAGGTGTCCAGCAGGGTGGCTCACCTCTCGGTGTCTCAGCTGGAAGCTCCTGCCCTCATGGTAGCAGTTATAGGTCTTCAGCAGGCTCAAGAGCTCGGACCTGTGGAGGGAAAGACGGGGACATGTGAGTTACAAGGGCTGGACACGGTGCTTGCCTCACTGGCCACCCAGTAACACGTGCGCTTAGCCTCTCATCCTCCAGAAGGTATACGAGCCCTTAGACAGCAGGGAGGGGATGGGAAGGGTGATAATCCCAGGCAGAATGGTGACACTGATGGCCTTTGTGTCTTCCTCTCAGTTCCTCAAGGGACTTCAGGCTGGGGTTCCTGACATTTCCAAAGTCTTGCTTCCCCGAATTAACCCCTGCAAAGTCCCCACGTGGCTGCTGTGGGCACCAGGAGTTCTTGTTGCACCCCTGCCTGGGCTTTCCAAGGTACAGCTGAGGTGTGAGAACGTCAGGCTGAGGGAGGAACCTGGATGCTCTGGAGGACTGCGCTGCCTGCCCATGGGATTTTCCCAATGTGACAGGAGGCTGAGGCATGGGGACACAGCACAGGGGCAACCTGAGGTCTCCTAGCAGCCAAGTTAGCCAGGGACACAGCACACAGCAGTGGAGTGAGAAAGGCCAATGTCCCACTGACCTGGATTCCAGTTGTCTCTGCCAGCAGAAGCTCAGCACAGCATAACAAGAGCTAGTGCATTTTTATTCTGCACCAAGCCTTTGCCATTCAAGCATCCTTTGTAATCACCTGCAGTCACATGGGTTTGTGGCTTCCACACTGACCCCAGACCCTGCTGTGCCTCTGGGATAGAGCCTCCAACTCCTACAAGCAGCTCACAGCGGAGACAGTGCCCTGCCCTGGGCGAGGGGGTGTGGCCTGCATATGACATGGGAACCAAGGCTAGGGAAGAGATGTTTAACTCCTAGGCATCCTCCAGTCCACTTGGAGACAAAGTTTTTGGCAGTGTGTTTTACGTGGCATTGATCTTGCCATGGTGATTGTGAGTTTTGGGCATTGTACTTACTCTTGTTCCACTGTTCTGAGCTCAGAATTTAATCACAAAGAGAGAGCCCTCTGGTGGGCAACAATGGGACAGGGTGGAGTGGAGCAGGCCTGCTTCCTTGGGGCACTCCATAGGGGACCTACGGGAGCCCATGGCAAAAGCTCACCATTCCAAGGGTGCTGTCTGGTCTTGGGGGCAGGGGGAGGCTGGAGCTGCCCATGCTTAGAAAGTACCTGAATGAAGAACTCAAAATCCAAGATAAAATGAAAAAGCTACCTTTCTTTGTTCAGAAATGGATGGGAAAAAATGCCCCAAACGTGTTTGTATAAAGAGAGCAAATAAAATAAGTAACGTAAAAAATACATCCATAAAATGCATTTTCTCATTAAAAACTGACAATCAGTTTTGAGTTTATTTTTTAACTGTTTAACATAAGTAGAGCAATGTTATCATTCAGGACTTAAAACAAATTAAACAGCATCACTTAAGAGCTGGTGCCTTTCTGCCTTCCTGCTCCCAGGGCCCAGGGACCCAGCCACGCCCCACCCACACCCTGAAGGGCCCTGGATCTCCAGAACGTCAGGACCCAGGGATGTGCGGCTGCAGGGAGAAGGGCAGCCCTGGGAGTCCTCCCCACCTGACCCCACCGCGCTGAGGCTCACTTCAGGATGGACTTGCTGTCACTGACGGGCACGTGGGAGCTGGAAGCAGAGTCTTCCTTCATCTTCTCTCGATGAGACCCAGAAGTCACCTGCGGGGAAGATGCAGAGGGTGCAGCGAGGTGAGTGGCATGCAGCCCAGCCAGGCAGCACCCAGCACACTCAGCCCTGGCACACTGGCTGGCTGCTGACCATGGTGAGGGTGGAGCTGAGGAGTCAGGTCCAGAGGCCCCACTCGGAACCCCTCCAGAATCTTGAGGTGTCTGGCTGTTTCCTAAACACTGCAGGCCATGCTCTGGCTGGGGATGCCCTGGGGATGCCTCATGACCACCCCACTGTCCTCCACAGCCACTCTTCTGTGTTCTTCCTTTCTGCAGCATCACTATCACTGTATCAAGGAATCCACTGTGCCCAAGGGGGCTAGCCAGACATGGATGGTGCTCCCCACATGCCAGAACTGGCATGGGCCTCCTAGGAGCCTGCAGGTCCAGCCCTCCCTGCATCTTCCCAAGCAAGGATCCTGTGCTCCTACTTCACAGCTGGAAAGGCAGAGTTGGGGACACGGCCCAAGCTCACTCAACAGGAGGCCAGCAGAGCCACTGTCTCCCAATCTGGAACCAAGTCTCTGCCCTGCTCCTGGTCAGGGACTTTGCCCCCGACCTTGCTCCTTCTGGACAGCGGGGTTGTCCAGCTCAGTACCTTGTGGCCCCCTGTGCAGCTGGCATAGTGTCTCTCCTTTCATACCATGGAGGGGGAGGCTCCCCCATCCTCCCGGCTTCCTTCAACAGAGCAGAGTGGGGGACCTCAAACACCTTACTTTACCTGACAGGCCTCTCCTGCTGCTTCCTCCTGTCTCCTCCAAATCACAGCATCTCCCACAGGCAGGGGCACCCCTCAACCCTCCATGGTACTGAGCCAAAAGTCAATGCCCTTCCCACCCTCATAAACCATGGACAGAATGGAGGTCATTTTAGGTACAATAAAAATACAGGCACACATTTCCACTGTGTGTGCCGCACACATTTCTATTTCCACCTCCCAGTTCACAGACAGATTTGCTCCCACAGCAGCTCCTAGTTACAGAGCACCGCTCCTGCACCATGCGGCCACCATGAAGTAAATAAGGGTGATGCCAGTGTTGATCTGACAACTGAGAGGGCAGCTATGTGACGGGGTGGGGTGGACACCAGAGGCCATGCGGGGCAGGGGATGCTTGGGTAGGGCAGGAAGGAGTGAGGCTTCATCATGTTACTCAGGGTGCCATGCTGTTTGCAATCAGGAATTATTTATTTTTAGAATTCTCTATTTCATATTATTGGACTGAGAGTGACATAGATAAGAGATCACGGCAAACAAATGCAAAAGGACCACGGTCTTCTGGCCGGGGCTCCTCTCTTATCAAGACTTCCTGCATACTGGGAGCTAGGAAAGTAATCTGCCTCTACCTCTCTCCTTCCAAGTCTCATCTAGGGGTCTGAGAGGTAGTGACATCAGAAGGTGACACTGGACACTGCTCCAGTCCTGGAGGGTACAGAGGAGGGGGACAGTGCTGCTCAGCCTCATGGACATGGGAGGGAAGAGAGAATCCAGCCCATCATGCCTGCTGTCACAGGCTGCTTGTAGCAAGACATGGTTGTGCCATGGGCCACAGAGGCAGTGTCCGCCCAAAACCCAGGCGGGGGCAGCTTCTGCCTACTGTGTTTGAGGAACTTCTGGCCCCCAAGAGCAGCTTCCAAAGACAGCTGAGGGCCGAGGAACTGAAACCTGGGTTCGAAATCTCTGCTGCCTGGCCAGGAAGAAGGCAGTGACAGGTCCCCAGCCCTGATCCTGGGGCCACCACTCTTGTGTGCTGTGCAGGCTGAGCCCCCTGCAGGGGCCAGACCTCTCTCCAGACCCCTGTGGGGTCCCCTCTGCTCTGCCACCTTCTCCTGACTCCCAGCCTCTAGTGTCCACCTCTTGGGCAGACTTTACAGGAGCTTGGGAACATGAAAGGGGGTGACAAGAAGGTGACCAAGCCTTTCTGCTTTACTGCTGTTCCTAGCACCACACACACGTCTCAGTAGGACCCTAAGTGTCTGCTGAGTGACTGTGTAAATATGAAATTCATAGGCTCCCTGACTCCTGATCTTCGAGTTATGCATATATAGCAGGATCATAAAATACATGTGTCCAGGGGCGAAGGAGCTGATGGGATTGAGGGATATGGGTCACAGAGGCACTTGGGAGCTGGGGGGCTCATGCTAGGTCTTTCACAAGGGTAGCAGGAATCTGGCTGCTCATGGGTTGTGTCTACTGCATGAGACATTAGCTGTGCCTTGAGTGATGATGTGACTGCCAGCTGTCCCTTCCCTCTGCAGCCAGGTGGGCTTGTGTGACCACTCCTGAGCTAGGGGCTGCACACATAAGTGTCCCAGGCCACTTCTAGGCTGGTGCACAGGGAAATTCTGTGCTCAAGAGACAGCTGCAGGAAAATGCTCCTAAAGGAGACAGAGGTGTCCGCCTCCTTTTTCTCCAGGCCACTTCTAGGCTGCACACATAAGTGTCCCAGGCCACTTCTAGGCCAGCACCAGTCTCTGCCATGGTGACTAAAAAGGCTGCATGTTCCCATTAGTGTGGGCACTTGATGGCCAGCTGGGTCCCTGGGTAAACTTAGATCAGAGCCCCGGGGCTACCCATACTGGATGTGCACTGGGAGAGAGACCTGGCCTCCACTGTGACAACCCATTGGTGTCCTGGGGATTTGTTACTGCAGCAAAACACAGCCCAGCCTGACGAGTGCAATCAAGACAACATGCTTAATATTAACTTAATATTTCGCATTTCAATGTGCCTAGAAATATCACCCAGCCAGACCAAATGTACTTTCAAGATGGACACACTAGTGGCAGCAGGGTATCCATTATGCACCTTCTGGCTGGTGTCATGACTCAGTTTACAGCTCTGGCCTTCTCCCTCAGCATATGGGACACACGTGACTGTGGGTAGGCAGCAGCTTCTTGCTAATAGCAGGCACTTCCCGGAGGACTCCGGGCTGGCAGCCACTGGTCCATGAGGTTCCACGTGGTCGCAGGCCTTCTCTTCTGAGCCTTCACCTTCCTGCAGGTGTGATGACAGCTCTAACCCTGTGGGTCTGACACCTTCCCAGCTTCCGAAGTGCTTGTTCAAATGTGGACTTTGCAATTCGGGTTAAATGGCCTGTTCCACTTGGCAGCAGGAGGGTGTCACATGATGGAGCCCAGTCCGCAGTCCCCGGAGCACCAGGTGATGCCGGGTGCTAAGTCCTGTCCTTCCTTGCTGGCCTCCAGCTCCTCCCTACAAAGATGTGGCCAGTGTGAGAGTCTCCAGCTGCAGGGGGCAGCAGTGGCCACTCAGAGGAGAAATCAAGAGGGCAGTCGAGGACCAAAGGACAGCTCTGGATGGCAGATGGCAGAGTGATAGGAGCAAGGCGAAGGGGCACAGAGGGCAGGCAGCCAGGCTATGTAGGGACAGAGTCTGGGACACCATCCCAGGAGCAGACAGGAGGGTAGGGAACAAGGCCCAGAGGGACGAAGGCCACTACCTTCAGCTCGCTGGGATGGAGTGCTGACCCACAGGAAAACAGCTCCCATTTACTTCTGAACCCAGTTGCCTGGCCCCACCAGGGTCACTGGTCTCTCAGGCTCTTTCCAGCCTCCACCCCTCATGGGCATCACACAACCAGTCCCTGAGCTCAGAACCACATGCAAATCCCTCCGAAGGGAACTCTGTGTTCACATCTCCTGTACACCGAGATGGTACACACACACACACACACACACACACACACACACACACACACAAGAAAGGAGGCGGACACCTCTGTCTCCTTTAGGAGCATTTTCCTGCAGCTGTCTCTTGAGCACAGAATTTCCCTGTGCACTGAGTAGGGCCACAGCTCAATCAACTAATCTGGAAATTAAACCCTCAGCAGAGCCCAGGGCATGGATGAATCACACTGGGGCAGAGCTGGAGTTGGGAGAGAACAGGCAGGGCTGGCTTGTCACTCCAGCACATATCAGGACCGCTGTGACACAGAGTGGACAGGCCCCTGGCTAGCTCCAGCCCCCACACCCAGCCAGCAGCTCAGCCTCCAGGGCTTCCCAGATGAGGACGAACTGCTCCCTGGGGAGGCCCCAGGCAGAGTGGACAGGCCCCTGGCTAGCTCCAGCCCCCACACCCAGCCAGCAGCTCAGCCTCCAGGGCTTCCCAGATGAGGACGAACTGCTCCCTGGGGAGGCCCCAGGCTGCGTGCTCACCACAGCCGCAGTCCCCAGCGAACAAGCAGAGGGTTGTTTTCACTTTCCACTTCAGTGGCTGCTCTGCCAGCCGTGGGCAGACAGACTGGGACGCATGGACAAAGGTCACCGAGGCTGGTTACAGCCATCAGGCCAGCCCTCTCTCCTTTGTTGTGGTCTTGGAGCTGAGAATCACAGAAGGAGGTGGCTATGATTCTTCAGGTCACTGCAGGCCCAGTTTCTATGGCCCAATTGGAAAGGGAGGAAAAAAGTCCAAAGACACGGGTTTCCGTGCAGCTCAGTTGAGTGCACTGGTGACTAGTGTCACCTCCCAGACTAGTGTCACCTCCTGCCTGGTCTAACACCCCTTCTTATGCACCATGGGGTGCACTGCTAGCAACGCCTCCCCCCCGCAACACACAGAACACCGACTGGTATCCAATTAAAATGTGCTGAGCTGGTCAGTCAGAACCTAGTGAGCATACTTGACACTGCCCAGGTCCCTGAGGAGCTGGGCAGCCCTGTGTCAGCCAGCGCAGAGCCAGGTGCAGGGGACAAGGAGCCTTTGAAGGGCCTCCCAGCACCTGTTACCAGCAAGTGGCAGGGCCTCAGCAGAAAGAAGCCAGCCACTTGAAGAGAGGCCTGTGGACATGGGAGAGCAAGCCAGCTGTTCGGCTGTGGACAGCTGCGACAGCTCAGCAGCTGCAGCCACTATCACTGTTCCATCCTGGTGTCCAGTCCCCCACTCTCCCAACCCTCTGTCCAAGTACATCCTGCAGCTGGTAAGATCCGAGGACACTACACTGAGTCTGGTGTGCCTGGAGGCCCGTGCAGGAGGCAGGGTGGGCTGACCATACCATCCAGGTGCCTCCACTGCATCCCCACACCCTCTGTAGCCCTGAGCTAGCCCAAGCCCATTCTGGTTCACAGGCCCCTGAACACAGCTCCCCTTCCTAAGAAGCCTGAGAGCCTGACGTTTGTCCTCATCTAAACCCAGACTGGCCATCCTTGGGCCCCATCCTGGGGGCAGGGCCTCCCCCTTTCCCCTTGGGCTGGGCTTCTGGCTTCTGCTCTTGCTCTCAGGCCCAGCAACTTTGGACAAGAGAGCTGCTTTGTTACTCCTGCTCCCCTGATACTTGGTGCCCATGCTTTCTAGCCTGCGCCACCATTCCAGACTAGTGTCACCTCCTGCCTGTAAAACAGGGGGTTCTAGAAACCGAAATCTGCTCAGCCATGACTTGGAGTGGGGCACACAGTTCCTCATGATGACCAAGGTTGAGATCCCAATTGCTTGGGCCAAGGGTGCAGTGCAGAGGAAGCAGATGTGCCAAGCTCCGGATACCAGCCACTGCCCACACCTGTCCACCCCGGGCTACCCCTGCCTATGCCATGTGCACCTGCAGAGCTGGGGATTCTGGTTCTCAGGGTCTTTGGGATGATGGAGTGGTCTGGAGTCTCTTAGAAATTTAACACTTTTCTTAGAAAACTGGGTGAGTGTGTAACACAGCCATGCACATGTGCATGTACACACAGCAACTCCATATACTGCCCACCTTAGATCTCAGGGTGAGAACCTCCTGACAATGTCACAGCATAGAGCATGGGCCAAGGAGAGCCGTGCAGAGGGTCATGGGTGTCTGGGCTTTCCCCCAGCCCTGGGCCTCTCCAGAGTCACAGTAGCAGTGGGCGTAGTGTCCTCAGGGCTCTGCAGCATAGGGCAGGTGGGGCTTCTGGGAATAAAGGTCAGCCACTAGGGCAGGAGACCCAGGGAGCAGCCAGTTTCCCTAACCAGAAGAAAAACCACAGAGCCTCGGGCCACGCAGCCCTTCCCATTTGATTGTGAGGTGCTATACAATAGTTTCAAAATATTTTCTGCAGAATGTTCTGGAGGAGCATTGGCTTTGGGATCTCTTGGTTGTGTGGCCAGGGGAAAATTCTCTTTCCTCGGGCCACACAACCTTGGGTTCATTGTAGGAAAAATAATTGGAATTCTCAGTTGATCCCTGTGGGGAGACCTGTGGGAAAGCAGACCCATGGGACAGGTCTGTGTAGGTTGTTATAACACAAGGAAGCTCGCACCATGTTCCTGTTGACATTGGGAGTCTGGGACCTAGGGGACAGTGAGTCTCAGAGATGGGCAAGTAGGCTTCTCAGAGATGGGCAGATGCCCAAAGAGGACTGAAGGCCTTCCTGGGAGGAGCAACTCAGAAAAATATGCTAGGGTTACCCAAAACCAGCACCCAAATCCCAGGATCCCAGTCTACCGTACTCAGTCACTACCCCTCCCCCCAGGCTGGGCATTTAGAATCAGAACACAAGACTCACACCCAGTTTCCACGCTGATTCCTCTGTCACAGTCTAGGTGGCTCTGATGCAGGGGATATAGGACTTTAATTCTCTTCTACACCTTCAGGCTGCCCTGGGGCTTCCTGGTGTTTCAGACAGGCAATTTAATATGTGCACAAAACATTCTCAGTGCTGCCACCAGCACCACCAAGTGCCACAGGGAAGGGTGCAAAGAGGGAAGGAAGCAGGCAGAACACACTGCGGACTGTGCTGAGACATAGGCTCTGTGCCATCCTGTCCTCTAGCCCTGCCCCAGCCGCTGCAGGGATTCACCTTTTCCCCCTTCCTCTCCCTGCAGCTCCCTCCCAGCACCTCATCTCCAACTCCACCAGCCACAGCCCAGGAGCAGAGGTGGGGAGGCAGGCAGGTCTGCGCTCACCCTGAGTCCCACAGCTCACTCAAAGGCTTGTGTTTGTTTCTTTCTTTGTTTTCTTGGCTTCTGATGCAGATCCTGAGGCACCCCAACTCAGGGGACAGGGAGGTGAAAGAGAAGAAGAGCTGCAGGGCCTTGAGGACTCTGGAGTCTCTAACTGGCTTGGGTACCAATTCCATAGCCCAGACCCCAGAAGAGTGGAAGAGCGACCCCGGGCCAGAAGGAAGGCCACGGACCCAGGCCAGGTCCCTGAGTTTCAGTCTTGCCCCTCCCTGTGCCTCCTGGATCAGGGTGGACAAACTTACACTTTGTACACCTCAGTTTCTCATCTGAAAGTGAGGGTGAGGAAAGTACCACGCTCAGAGCCATGAAGAGGTGTCCTGGGCCCCGGGCCTGGCACAGGGCACACCACCAAAATAGCGCCTTTGAGATAAGAAGCCGCTCTAGGTCTTACGTGGGCGCTGCCCTGGACCTGTGACATTAGGCTGAGCAGCAGCGCCCACCTCTCCTCCCCACCTAGGGCCAGCGCTTCCAGGAGACCGGCTTCGCTTTGGACTGGGGCACAGGTGCACCCTGAGGCCGTGAGCACCTGTCTTGCTGAGTCTTGGCCCCAAAGTGTTCTCTCTTGGAGGAGGCGACTGGCGCTGTGCCCAGTACCCAGCATCTGTCGGGGTCACTTTGCGCCAACCTGGCAGGAGAAGCGCCTCCTCAAGACTCCTGCGGCCACCAGTGTGCAGGGAGCTGCGCCCTACTCGGAGGGGGCGCCCGGGGTCGTGCGCAGAGGGCCCCAGGGATCCACACTCACACTCCGCCGAATCACTCACCGTGCAGGCATCACGCCCTCCGCGCAACTCTGCCCGCCGCGCCCGCGCTCAGTAGAGCCTGCAGGAGCTGAGCACAGCCCGCTGCCCGCCTAAGCTGCACGGAATCGGGCCCGCCCCTCGCCCACGCCAACCAATGGCACCGCCTGCCTCCCGCCCTGGACCGCCCCTTACTCTATGCCAGCCAACCGTACCAGTCCCCATCCACCCCGCCCTGGACACGCCCTCGCTCCGCACCGAAGGCTCCGCCCCGTCCACCCCTACCCGCCCACCTCTTGCCTCTCACTGGCCAATGGCAGCACCCCGCATCATCAGCCCGCCACACCCAAGAGCGCGCCAGGCAGGAGCGCAGGTGGCTGGGACGCAGGTTGCAGCCGGGGTTTGTGGACTAGTAGTCAGGACCCAAACGGGTTAGGACGCGGGGACGGGGCCGGTGTCAGTCGCTACGGCTTTGTTTCATCTCAGCAGTCCCATCCTGAGTTGCACCTCTGTCCCCGCACCCAATACAAATCTTTTTTTTCATTTCCTGATGTTTGTGGGCCTCCCAGACTTCTCTGTCCGAAAGGAATCAGCCTGGGCTCTGCTTCCTCACTGTGCCTGCTTTGGTATCCCACCCGCTGGGCGGGACGCCTCCTGCAGCAGCGGGGGAGGAGGGTGGGCCCAGGAAGGACCTGCCTGGCATCTCTGCCTTGTGTGCTGCCAGCTGGCTTGACCAGAGGTGATTCTATGTTGGGGATTCTTGGGGATATATTTGCCCAGAGGCAGTTCATAGGTCAGACTTCATAGAAACAGAGACCAATACTTGATTGATTCTAAAGATTTTTTAAAAACGACTGGGTAAAATTCAACAGAGCTCTTCACTCGAACATTGCCTGCTAAGAATCCACCCACTCAAGAGGCCCAGGAGAGGGGCAGATGGCCTGGGTGGTGAGTGCACACTTTCCCTGAGCTCCAGTACGACACAGGGTGGGACTCGCTGGTGGGCAGGATTGGGTGTCCTGCATTCCCATCCTGCCCTGTGTCAGACACTGCAGTGCTTCAATCAGGGGCCCTCGATTCCCACTGCACTGTGGGCAGTACCACTCGTCAATTGTCCTGCACAGGTCCTGGCTCCATTGAAGGGGCTACCTTGTCCTGAGACTTCCGCAGAACTGCCTTGGCCTCCCTCCTGAGGGTGGGTGCTGCCCACTGCCCACTCTGTGTCCATTCCTTTCTTGGAAAAAAAGAGGGCGGGAGAGAGGGACAGAGGGAGCGAGGGACAGTGAAAGAGAGGGAAAGTCGCTTGCATGGAGATGTGTCACAGTGCCTGGGTTTTCCTTACAACACAATCGAAAGTCACCAGATGTGACAGTTCTTAAAGACAGATGACACAGTAAACGAAAGCTGTGTGAATGACTTCTAACCATACCATCCCCACTTCATAGACTGCGGTGCAACTGTGGTTCCCACTGTAGTCCTCACTGTGGTCCACAGCTGAGAGTGAAAATGGACAGGGCCCCTGTAGACAACATCTGTCACAGCTTTCGCAGCTTCTTTTGAAGCACAAGTGGCCCTGACACCCACTTCTAGGCAAAAAGATAGGAGGACGTAGTCTGGGAAGAGGGGATTTGAAAGACAGTGAAGATAGCGTGTGTTTTCCTGATACAATGAGCAAAAATCCTGCCTTTCTGCCTCCTATGTGAGTAATCTAAAGTGCAGTGTCTGGAGCACTGGCAGCCTTCTTGGGATCATGACACAGCAGGTCCCTTTGCAGATGCTAAGGATGAAAGGTGTCTGGGTCTTTATTGGCATCTTAGGATCTTTGCACCATGCCTTCCCTACAACTGGTTGATTACAAAAACAAGAGGCAGGACACATGTGACTCGGGGGCTGCTGTGTGCAACCCCTTCCCCAGTTGATCTTGCTCCTGTGGCCTCATCGACCTCATCTCCTCCCTCTGTCTCTTCCTGCTGGCGCTGTCCCTCCTGCAGGCCAGGCTCCTGCGTCCCTGTGGCCTTGTCACACTGCAGAGCCTCTATCTGACAGCTCCTGCCCCAGAGCCTGCTGTACTCGCCCTGGACCTCCTCGCAGGCTGTCTCTTTGGGGTCCTCCTGGCTCCGCCTATGTGTCCATCCCTGGTCACACTGACCTCCCTGGCCTGCCCTGCATTTTTTACACGCTAAACTCCTTGAGGTGGGAGGAGGGTGCCCTGCACCCTTAGGCCCTGAATGCCCAACTGCCGTGCTGTGTCATTGCTTTTCAGACACTTGGGGGGGGGGACACCACGGCCATCCCAGGTGCCTCAGGTTTTGCTGTGGTAGCCCTGTATGGTGGGTGGACTCTGCTGGTGCCACCAGGGACTGTAGCAGGTGGCATCTCCTCTAATGGAAGCCAGAGTCTCAGGAAGCCCAGGACACATAGACACCTCTATAGGACTCCTGCCTAAGTCACCCCAGGGACAGAGACTTCAGGGCCCCATTAGGGAGAGGGCACTGTGTCCCTCTCTGGCCTCTTATACTTTATAGCTTCCCAATATGGGAAAATGTCACTGATGTGAGCAGTCCTGGTGGACTTCTTAGGTCCATAAAGAGCCAAATGGAAACACACCCCGATGTTTTATTAATGAGCTGTGGAAAATGAATTTATGTTTGATCTTTGCAGGAGAGTCTTAGCGAGCTTTGGGGAATGAATTTATGTTTGATCTTTGAGTGGGGGTGCTCTTAGGGAGCCTCAAGGTCTGGTGTGACTCCACGGGATTTGCCTGGTGAGGCCTGTAGAGGGCTTCTCCCTCCTGGTTGGTTGTGGGCACCTTGGCCCTGGGCACTGCTGCAGGGCAGTTGGAAATGCCTCCCTCCCTCTCTCTCTGGGATACCAGGGCAAGCTGAGTGACGCCAGGGGTAATCACAAGTTGGCGACATATAATTTGGTTTCTGAGTCTTGAAACATGCACTTTTGTATTTTAGTGCAAACAGCATTGATAATGACAGCCATTTCCAAGGCCACTGCCTGGAAATAGTAACAGAGATTTTGAATTAAAATTATTGGTCGATTTTCTCAAGCCTTTCAAGGATGGCTTTCTTGGATTCTTTCCTTTACCGTCTCCAGCCTCAATTCAGAATGAAAGACTGTCTAAAACAGTTTTTCTAGAAATTGATCTCTAAGGCACAAAGCAATTAGCTGGCTGTACATGGTATCAGGCAGACAGGGCTCACAGAGCCGCTCGCTAGAGGGCATTAGCTTTGCGGGGCCCAGGAGTGCTGAGGCTCCCCACACTGCAGATGTGGCTTTGTGAGGTTTCCCCTGGAGTTCTCAGGTGACTTCTCAGAAAATCCGCACACCACTGACATGTCCTCCCTGGGCGAGGTGGATTTTCCTCCCTTCACTGTTAGCATGTGCAGAGTGACTTCCAGTTCCAGTAAGGAGCAGCCCTCTTAGGCCAGAGGCAGGCTGGGGATGATAATTAATTCCCCAAATGGATGCAAATTTCCACATTTTCTGCCTGGCACCTTCCGGGGAAACTGCTGTGCACAGGAGGTAGGAGGTTTGCTTTAAAAGGTGACAGAGCTCAAAAGCCCTACCAAAGCTTCCTGGGGCGGAGGTGGGGGGGGGATTAAATGCTGGCTCTTGGTCTCTGAGAAAAGGATGCGACTGATGAACCCACATCAGCTCCAGAACTGTGTGTGGACCAGGGAGGCTGGGAAGCCATGGGTGGTGAGCTCTGGCAGCCTGCTGTGTGCATGGCTGGCACCTCTCTCCCATCACCTCCTCCTCTTCCACCATCTCTTCCTGACACCTGCACAGTTTGGAAGGCTGGGGAAGAGGCAGTGCTCCATTGTCTCACGTGTGCCCTGCTTTGCCAGGCATCCCTGGACCGGCATCACTACCTCACCTGCCCGTACTCCAATCTGTCCTAATGCCCCACCGTCAACTTAGGCATAAAAATAATACGGCAGTGCAAGTCTCCTGGACAACTGCCTTTCCAATGTAACTATCATTTTGGTAATGCGAGAAAGTACCTTTATGTTGGTCAGGGTTTTCATCCACTTAACAAATAGCATGACTGTTTGCAGGACTGTTTGCAGGACTTAGGGCTTGGATGTGGAGCACATGCGGTGGGAAAACTTACAGAAGAACACGGCTTCTCACAGGAGAAGAGCCCCAGAAAGGCCTGCTGCTGCCTGGGGCCAGAATTAGATGAATAAGGAGCCACTGATGAGGAAGCCATTGGGCCTTCCCTCCAGCCAGGATATGATGCAGCCAGAGGAAGCAGAGACCCCCAGATTGAGAAGAAAGGGCCCCAGGAGTGCTCAGAGCACTAGCGTGAACAAGGACCGTCTGTCCTGCAGCTTCTGGATGTGTCTTTCAAAGCCGACCCTCCACAGGGGGCTCTGGGAAAGCGGCCAGAGAGAGAATGCAATGTGTTTCCCGTGTCCTGCACTATCTCTTCTTCCAAGTATGTGGCTTCCCAGGAATGCAGCACATTCCCATGGGGAGGGCAGGCTGGGCCCCCACCAGAGTCCTGACCTGTGGGCTCTGGGTTAAGAGATGTCCAATCAGCAAGTCGAGCTCACCCTGCCACCGTCAAAGCCACCTCTGTGCAACCCCGCTTGGTGGGGGCTGCCTACCCCCAAGACTCCTTCCCTGTCTGCTAGCTGTGACCTCAGGACCTGTGTGTTTAAGGATAGATGACAGAGTGGTGATTGCTTAAGTTCTGTCTTTATTTGGGAATTGTCTCTGACTTTTCAACTTGAAAATTGTGTACGGGAAACAAACAGCATTCAACAGCACAGCGAGTTAAAAGAGAAATGACCAGCGTAATAGCTGGGCCTTTGCAGAGAGCTGGGACCAGCAGAGTATGTATACGTGGGCCCTCTAGACCCATGATCCCTATCCATTGATTATACCAACTGTGGATAGAAAACAGGTGGAAAAGAAATCACATCCATACTGAACATGTAGACTGTTTTTCCTGGCTATTATTCTGTGGACAGCACAGTATAACGGCCATTTGTGCAGCACTGACATGGTATTGGGCATTATAAGCCATCTAGGGGTGAGCTAAAGTGTGCAGGAGGGTGTGCAAGAATTCTGTGCAAAGGCTACACCATCTTACACAGGGACTTCAGTGCCCCGAGCTTTTGGTATCCAAGAGTGAATGTAGGTCCAATCCTCACATCAGAATGACAGTAGAGACTGGGGAGGGGACTGGGATTTCAGGAAATAACTGGCTCTGGTGATGGTGAGTTGGAAGACCACAGACTGGGTGGCCCCTGCAGGCTGCACTCAGGTGAGAGTGGGTGTGGCCCCTTTGAATCTGAAACCCATCTCCAGCTTCCTGGTGCGTTCACTGCGGTTCAGGCTTGAGGCACAGTTTCTTCTCATTCAGCAAAACTCAATCTTTCCCCCAGATCTTTCCCTCTCAAGTGAGACTCATTAGCATTATGGAATCCTAATGATTCAAAACTCAGAAATTTACATGTTAATTTTTTAAAAACATACATCTGTAGCTATGTCTAGAGGGCTGTTTGACCAGCCAGCCCCTAAGCCTCCACCAGCCACAGCTGCAGGGACGCACTCTCTTATGTCCCTGTAAGGACAGACCCCAAGGCAGGGTTTGGTTTGACAGGGACTCCAGGCAGGACCCCTCAGAAAGAAACTGTACTTTCCCCGGGGATTTGTCTGTGTCATCAGGTAAATATCTGAGGAACTTTTGCTTTCCTATGGCCTGGTGAATGAATGTCAGGGGTTCCCAGTGTTTTCTGTAAAGGGTAAGATAGCAACCGTTTCCATGTCTGCAGCCTGCATGGTCCGCCGTAGATGCCATGCACATGAATGAGTGTGATTGTGTTTCAATAAAACTTTATTGAGACAAACAGACAGAGGGCCTGGATCATCCCACAAGCACAAAAGGAGTTCATGTTGATATTGGACCTGTCTTCCCCACCATGCCTGCCAAGGGCATTGGGAAGCTTCACTGCAGCATCCTTTGAACCAGGGAGAATAAAACCCCAAACCGAGGGGACTTTGATAATAATGCTTCCCATACTAAAATGCCCCCTGCGAACAGGTAGTTTTGAGGTTGGTTAATTGAATGTTTAAGTTGCCTTCCTCAAAGACAGGCCTATACTTGGTGGAAGGTATCCAGCAGCCCAGCTCTTTTGGTGTTGAGGAAACATTTTCCAGATACTGCCCATGGGCTTCACCCACCATGATGAGGTGGGTGGAGCAGCCAGGCTGGGGCAGGCAGGTAGATATGTGTGGAAAATCAGTGGTCAGGGTTGATCAAGGGACAAAGGGTCCCTCCTGAGAAGCCTATGGCTTCCTTACCCAATCCACCAGGTGAGGTTGCAGCCCAGATTCATCCTGCGAGGAGCAGCAGAGTCCAAGAAGAGAGGAGACAGGCTAGAGAGGGAAAACCCAGGTCAGCAGGCACCATCACAAAAAGCCAGGCCCCCACTGGGTTGACTGGGAGAAATGGGGCCAGAGCAGGGGCTGTGACCAGGGACACGGTGAATCACCCAAGCCAGAGAAACAGAACTGAAAATGCCCACAGAAAAGGAAGCATGGGGTCATAGGCCAAGAAGACCCTGCCAGGCTGCGGGGATCAGGAGTGAGCAGACCATGCTGGGGTTCAGGAGTAAGGGCCTTGGGGGCATGTGTGGTAGTGTCACTCTGCGGTCCTCCTTGAAAAACCCTCAGTACTGTGAGGTGACAGTGGGAGGTTAGGAGCCTGGGCCCTGGGAAGAAGGGAGGGGACTGGGATGTCTGTGCTGCTGCCTCAGTGTCCAGGTGACAGCCTATCAGCCAGGTACATGTATCAGGTGCACCCTGTGGGAGCTGGAGGTCTTGCCTTGGGCTTTGAGCACACACAGGGCCTGGCAGGAGGTCTGGGATCATGCTATAATTTGGTCTAGATTTCTCCCAAGCCTTATGTGGTCATAGGTGGGGGCTTTTTCAGAGGTGGCTGAGTCTAGCATGTGTGATGCTGGATTAAGAATGGGTGTTTGCTCAATCAGGTCACTGACTGATCTGGAACTGTTCTGCCCCAGCCTGGATACAGTATAAGGGACAGAAAGAGGCTTGTCTTTCTCCCTTGTTGCTTTACCACCTTGTGCCATGAACTGTTCTCTGTGACACCCCTCTGTCATGTGACATTGTACCTTGGAGCCAGCCAACTATGGACTTAAACTTTTACAAACCATGAGCTAAATAAATGTTTCCCCCTTTAACTTTGGGTGCCAGGTATTTGGTGTCAGCAACAAGAAAATTACCTATGACAGCTTGGCTTTCAGCTCTTGGTTCTAACTGTGGGGAGGGTGGCTGGCTCCATCTGCCTGGGCTGTGCGTAGGTGTGGGGTGTCTGGTACAAGGAACACACAGGGATGCAAAGTGTCCAAGGCAAAAGTGAGGTGACCACCACCCTAGCTCACACAGGGGCTCTGAACTCCACATCCACTGGAGCCCGGTCTTTTTTCTCACTTCCTTTTTCCCTCCTTACTAACCACCAACTCATTCTCTTTCACTGCCTGTGAGTAATCAGAATCCCAGGAGATGTTTTGGCAAGCAAAGACTTTATAGGAAACAAATGTCCCCTCAAATTCACACATGGCAGCCCCAGTCTCAGGGATGGCATATGTGTGTGTGGGTGTGGGTGCTAGGCCTTTGGGGTGATGGAGAAACTTGCACAGAGCCTGTATGAAGGGGCTCAGTGCCTGAGGTAGCAGACTCATCAATTTGAGTGACTTGGGAGCCACCCCAGAGGTTGGTGGAGCATATTGGGGTTGTCTGGCTGGATAATAGAGGCATAGCCTTGGGGTCTGTGCTGGTCTCTGACCCCTTCTTCCCTGGCACTCCCTGCTCTGCTTCCCAACCACCAAAGTATCTGTTTCCATGTCCTTCCTCCATGATGTTTAAGCCTTGCAACAAATAACCATCGACTGCATCCCCTAAAACCACAAGCCAGGTTGTCCCTCTACCTCTTTAAGCTGTGTGTCTGATGTTCTGTCCCAGTAACTGACTAATACAGTACTTCTATAAGAGGTGACATAGAAAGCTGATCTCTTTCCACTGCATGAGCCACACACACAGGTGCTGGATAAACCAGGAATCGGGTCTCACCAGAACCTGAAGCTGGTGCCCTGACCTTGGACTTCCAGGGTCATGAGCAGAGACACAAATGTCTATTGCTTAAGCCACACAGCCTATGGAGTCTGTTTCAGCAGCCTGAAGTGGGATGGGGCCTTATGTCTCTGTGCTCCCCTTCTAGATGAGGGGCAGGCTCAGGCCTCGGCTGGTGAGGCTGGAGTCAGCCTGGCTTGTGCCTTGGCCCTGGAACCTGCAGCGAACACACACTGCACTGTCATCAGCTCTGTGGAGCTGCTGGATTCCTCATTGCCATGAGGGATGGACAAGGCCAGACGCATGGCCTGGTTTGTCCCCTGTCATAGTTACTGTTGTTTGCCCTGTGCCTTTTGGCTGCACAAAAGCCTTCTTTGTTTCAAGTGGAAAGCATCTCTCTCTCAGACTCCAAGAGCTGGACTGCCTCCCTCATCTCCAGAGACACAGCAAAGGATCCTCAGGAATGACAAGTCCTGCTCACGAGAAGCTCGTTTTGCACCCCTCAGGGTCCCACTGCCTGAATTCACTGCTCCTCGCACACGGCCACAGCTTCACTGCAGCACATCTGCCACCGTCAGCCACAGTGTCAGTCTCTGCTGTGCCCCTTCAAGCCAGCACCTCGCTTGGTACCTGGTCCACACAACAGATGCTTGATAAATGCTGCTAATTGAAACCAACTCTGTCCTAAGAATCCTGTTCCCTGAGTTTGTGCTGGTTTAAAAGAGAGGAACATGCACCACTCTAGAAAGAGGAACTAAGCCCGGAGCCTGAAAATATCTCACCCAGTTTCCAGGAAGCTGCAAACTGGTGGCCGTGGGCTAGTGGCACCCACACCCTGGATACTATGTTACTTCAGAAACAAGTAGCTATTTAGGGACAGATGAGTCATTAAAATGGGGGTACTCGCTGCTTCCTGTGTCGGGGATGATCTGACCAGGGCCTGGCACAGGCTGCCATGGCAGGGGCCTGAGACTGTCCCAGGCAGCTCCTGCACCTGTTGAGTGGTATTCTAGCTCCGAGAATCCACCTGTCCTGTGAGAAGATCAGGCAAAACTCCTCAAGCATGTGCTTAGCACTTGAGGGGTCTCCTGGTCTGCTCTGCAGGTGGCCACTCTGAAGCTGGCAGGACCCTCAGGGGTGGCATGTCCTCAGCTGACACAGAGGAAGGATCCCAGGCCCCAAACTTGAGCAGGACCAGCAGGTGGACCACCTCTAGGCCTCCTGCCTTCCAGGACAGCCCTTTCCTCTCTGTGTAGCTGTCGGTCCCTTGTCATGATGTGACACTTGGGGGAACACCCCACTGATCTAAAACTCAGATTCTGGAAATTCCTCCTCCTCTGTGAAGGTCAGGAGTAGATTCCGTTATAAGGTAGTTTCTTTAGAAATGACTCACCAATCAGTATCCCAGGTTCTTCTTGCTTTGAAAAAAATAAATTGGACTAACAGTGCCAATAAAGGTGTCAAAAAGTTTATTTGAAAACTGCAGGGGAAACGAATACGGGAGAAACCAGCTCTGGAGCACAAACTTGGATCAAACAAAGAGAAAAAAAAAGGGTAAAAGCAAAAATAAAAGTACACACTACATGAAGATTTGGTGGGGGCTCCTGTGCAAACTCACGCACAATAGAGGCTTTCTGTGTTAGGCACCCCTGTTTATGCCGGCCGCATCTGATGGAAGCTCATGAGAAATGCCACATATGGGAGTCCTCAAGTTGCCCTGGGATCTTAGGATTGACCTGTCCTGCTTATTTATCCAAGCTCTTTTGCCACACCCTATCTCCCATATCTCCTGATGTTCTTCCCTCCTTCAGACAATGAAAGACATTTGGCCAGCCAGTTAGGCCCCACGGGAGAGCCCCGTTCCAGCCAGTGGGGACAGTTCCTCTTTGTCCTATGAGAACACTATCCCCCAGCAGATGAGCAGCCAGGCCAAGGGCTCTGACAGCTGAATAGCTGGCCGACTTTCAGAGAAAGCTTGACACTTTATGCACAGGAGGGGCTGGGCCAGAAGTTTCACTGTGGCCAAACTGCAGGGTGTGTTTCCTTGGCTGCCTCAGCTGGGAGAGGGATGGATTCAACCCCAGGAAAAGAGGCCACAGCAGTTTCTCAGACATAGCAACAAGGTTTGGGCTCTGGGCTAAGTTGAGAGAAGAGAAGAATCTGGGGACAGTGAGTATCTGCAGTACTGACCAGGTAGCCACTGTCCGGGAGCTGCACGACTACACCCAGGAAGAAGCCCAGAAGGCAGGAACTCAAAGAACTTTCCTCGTTCATCTTTTGATCCTCACTTTTTTTTGGGGGGGGAGCTTTTGTTGTTATCCCATCTTTACACTTGGGAAGTCAGGGCTCAGAGGGCTCCTGAGCTTTGTCCATATGGCAGATAAAATCCAGATGCAGTGATTCAGCCTGGGTCTTGGTTCTTGGTAGTCCAAGTTTCCCTTCAGGTGCTCCATTTTGTCATGATCAAGGCAAAAGCAAACAAGTAAATCAAGAGCAGGCAACACTTCCAGACTTGAGTAACTGAGGACCTTTTCTGAAACAAAATAATTACTTATTGGGGGAATTACGGTTATGGTTTAGATCTGGATGGCCCCCAAAGCCTCAAGCACTCAGAGATGGAACTTAGGGAAATTGATTGGATCTGGGAGTCCACTGGCTGACTTGGTGCTAGGAGGTGGGGCCTGGTCAGAAGAAGGGGCTCTGGGGCTGTTGCTTGGGAGGATTTATTGTTTCTTCTGGCTCCTCCCTTCTCTCTCTGCTTCCTGACCACTAAGAGGTGAGCAGCTATCCTCTGTTAGGCTCTTCGACCATGCCATCTTGCCTTGGAGCAGACCATGCAAGGACTGAAACTTCCAAAATGTGAGCCAGAATAAACTTTTCCTTTAAGTTGTGTCAGGTATTTTGTTCCAGTGCCAAAGAAAATGAGCAAGATGATTATAAATGACAATTATTTAGATCTCTGGAGCTTGTCCTAAGGGCACCCAGAAAACCAGGGATCTCTCACCAAAGAGCATCTACTCAATCTCAGTCACCATAACAGTGATAGTCCTCAAGGCTGCCCTGCTTTTTCCCTAATAGCTACAGCCAAACACCTCCCCACAGCCTCCTGGCTTAGCTTGAAACTTCTCATTGTTTTTCCTCTGTATTTATGGATCCAGTAGTTTTGAGCACCTGCCCATCCCCTCCCTGTCATCGCCATACTTGGACTCCCCCAGACCCTGTTCTGAACAAAGCTGTCGCCCAGCCTGAATGGTCTACCTCATCCTTTCTGGCTTCCTGCTCCTGGGAAGGGTCCAGGAGATGGGAGAGGGGAGAGCACCTGCCTCCTGTGCCTGTAAGAAGGTTTAGGGTCATAGTTAACATCTAGCTGTCCCAAGACCTCCCATACCTATAGGTGGGACCTTTGGAAGGTGCCTGCATCTTGGGGACATAGCAGCTGACTTGCCCTTACGAGATAGTATCTGCTTGGGAGAGGCAGTTCAGCAGGCCATCACCTGAAAGGGTTTATCTCCCTGGGACCACCATCATAGACTAAAAGTGTGAGCAAAATAAACCTCTTCTCCTTTAAGTCACGGGTGCAGGTATTGAGTCCCAGTGGGGAAACAGTGTCTACAGTAAGTCCCACCTGCACACGGAACCACACACCACAGGCAGAGTCAAGGCTCTTGGGTCTAGGAGTCTCAGGCACAGCTCTGACCGAATGCTGGACCAGGGCAACTCAAAGAAATTTAAAAATAAAATCCCACGTACTCCTGGGACTCAGGCGAATGGCATTATATGCTCATAGTTATGCTCTCAGTTGCTATCAGAGAAAGGACATCCAAGCTGAGTCCCTGGCTGAACATAGGGACAAGTATGAAAGCCTGATCTGGTAAAAAGAGCCCAAGTTCCTGCCCCACACGCTGTAAGGTAAAGGGGAAATACCTAAATGGTCCCAGGGTTAATCACAACTTGTGACCAAGAATGGCTCATGTAGACCCACGGGAAATTCCTAGATAACTAGGCTGACAGACAAAAACAAGGAAAAGGGCTTAATATTCTGGAAAAATTGATTGATTTCACAGAATTCATCCAGCCATAACTATAAGCAATGAATACATTAAAAACAAAACAAAACCAAAAAAAAAAAAAAAAAAAAAAAACAAGAACCCAGGGAGAGAAGAAGAAAACCAGTACCCGAAATCTCCACGTATTTATCTAAATATCCAGGTCACGTATTAAGAACAAATTTTTGAGATATGAAAGGAAGTGCAGGGAGAAAATAGCCAGAAAACTTAACTTTAGAGGGGTCTAGATGTTGGACGGCTCCAAGTGAAGGGGCGAATGTGTCTGAAGAACTAAAGGAAACCGTACTTAAAGAATTAAAGCACGAGAACAATTTACTGACAGAGAACCATGACAGAGGGACAGAGGTTTTTTAAAAAAAGGATCACATTGCATGTTACTATATTTTTCCACTTAGACCAAATGCCCAGAGCAGGCAAAGTTACAGAAAGCAGATTGGTGTCTGCATAGGGCGGGAGGCAGAGGAGGGAGGGACAGCTAGGGGGTCCTGATGTGGGTTTCTTTTTCCGGAGATGAAAATGCTGTGAATTGCGGTGGTGGTGATGTGGTGAACTTAGATTATAACTATACTGAAAAACCATTTAACTGTGTTCTTTAAACTGGCGAGTGCTATGGTACTCAAGTTATAGCTCAGGAAGGACACTTAAGAAAATTAGAACCAACTGACCAAATAAAAACAAAAGCAAGCTAGGGCTGATGAGAGAGATGACCCCAGGGTCCGGCTCCCCAGGTTTTGAGTTCCCTGTGGCTTTTGTCTCACTGATGCCCTGGATTCTGGAGTTGGGATGGAGTCCTTGTGGCTGAGTCTGGTGTGGAAATTCCCTGAGTTTTGTCACCCTGAGGCCCCCCAGCAATAGGGATGCAGTGCCCTCACTGTGACCTGGGATTTGTAGGCTGAAAGCCCTTGGTGGGGACCCCAACACCCCAGGTCCGGGTTCTCTTGCAGCAACAATGGAATGAGTCCAGGTGGCCCCAGCCCTGTGTCCTGCCCACCACCGTCCCACATCACAGAGCCTTAGCTCCTATGTGTGCTGAGGGGGGTCTGCAGCCACCGCAGGGCCTGTGATCCTCCTACAGGGGCTGTCTCCACAGCCACTGTACAGGGAACAGGGACAGGGACCGGGAGGGATCATGGGTGTGAGTGCTCAGGGAGGTCAGGAGGAGCTGGGTGTGGTCGCCTGCTCAAGAGGCGGGGACATTTTCTCAGCTGTCCCAGAGACTTTGGCAACCTAGCTGCCATCAGCTTTGTTCTCTAACGCTGCACTCAGAGCAGATTTTGTTAACAGGTGATGTCCTCATAAAGCCTAAATGTCACCTGTATCTCCTGAAGCACATCTCTGTCTGACACACCCTAGCCCGGGTCTGGTGTTGGGCTTCCTGGAGTGTTTATTACGCAGCTCTGAGCTCACGCCTTCGGATTTGTTCTTGGTGACCCAGGGACCGGGCTGCTGTGACACTCAAATGCGGCACCCCGGTGTCACAGGTAATCACAGTCAGATGGGACTCACGTGTGATGGGCAGGACTTCACCCACCTGGCCCACTTCCCACACCGTCCACTCTCTGAACCGGGTCTGAGCACCATCGGACCCTGCTGTCCTCTGTGTCGAGGACTACATGGGGTGCATCCATCAGTCACCGGCCCTTGGAAGTCAAAGGAAGGTGGGTGACTGTAGGGGGACCCAGGTGCAGACACCACCAGCCTCCATGGGGCCTTATTGCCACACCTGTGAAAGACAACACCTGGAGAAGTCATAGTGGGGACAGGTGTCCCTCTGCAGATTGTGAGCCTTGTGGTCAGGGTCTCGCCAAGCCCCTCCCACTGCTGCTTTGTGCTGACCATGACCAACAAATCTGCTCTTCTAGGAGTGGCCTCGAGGACAAGTGCATCTTTCTGAAGTGGACACCATACCGCCAGTCCTTAACTGAGAAATATCTGGTTGTGACTCCTTCCTTCCTGCTGGTTTGCTTCCTTTCTGATGCCCATAGTGCAGCTGCCCACCACCCTCCGGGCCTCCTCCTGCCTCTTGGCCTTCTTCCCTCTCACTGTGAACAGCCCTGTGTGCATCCCATGTCCCCACAGCGAGGCCACTTATCGTGCTGTGGCTGCGTCAGCTCCGCCCCAGGTCCTGAAGGCGCACAGCTAGCCTTACAGGATGCACCTGGGCTCTTGTCTGCTGTAGTCTTGGGAGGCCCAGGACCCTCAGGGGTGCCTCTGGAGTGAGCAGCTCCCACATTCCAGTTCTCCTGGCAGTGGACACAGAGCAGCATGATCCCCTGGTGGCTTCAAGATTCAGCAGCTGCTCCAGCCCTGAAGTCTGCAGCCTGGGTCCCCACTGCAGTGGTCTCTGTTGGGACTCAAGGCCTCCTTGGACACCTGCCTTCCAGCCTACACCTGATCTGGCTGCCACTGTGTCCCTGGCCCTGGGGTCTCAGAGGTGGGTTTGCAGCAGAGGCTCTGGATGAAGTACAGGGGCAGCCTGGTGGCATCTGCCAGTCAATGTCCTCTGTGCAGAGGGGCCAGCGATAGTGACCCTGCAGCCAGTGTGCACTGGGAGCCACCATCTTAGCACCTGGGGCCAGGAGGGAAGCCAGGAGGAAGATGTTTCCTGGTACCTTCTAGGTCATCACACCTCCAACAGCCCTGATGGCCTAGAGGTCCGGCCACCATGGAGTGTCTGGTCACTCTGGAGAACCTAACTGTGAAGGCCCCATGGGTCCCTGCAGGTCATGGACTGTTTCCCTTGCCGAGCTGCTCAGTACAGATTGAGAACATCCAGTGAGGATGGCAGGTGTGGGGCTTGGGGAGCTGGGATGATGGGTGCTGTGTCAGAGGTGGTCTCCTCTGCCTCACTGTCCCCATCCTCCAGTGTCTCAGTGAGGGCCGGGATAATCCTGATGGCATCGTCCTGGAAGTGCACCTGCTTTTTCTTGGCCAGGCTGTCTGCAGGCTGCAGGGGCAACTCAGTCATGGTGTTGGGGCGGGGCAGGCTGCTGTTCATCTTGGCCCCCCGTAGGAGACTCTTCACCCGGGTGAAGAGGGAGCTGGGTCTCCCTGTGAGGGCCTCGTGGAAGGTGTAGATCTGCTCTGTGTCCCCAGAGCCTATGGTGCTCACAGTGCTGCCCGAGGGGTCTGTGTACTCCTCAGGGGTGGCCAGCCCCGCGGCTCCTGACTTGGTCTTCTTGCGCTTGCTTAGCAGGAAGTAGGCAAGGCCCGTGACAATGAGCATGGAGCCTGGTGACATCAGGGCAAGGGTGAGACATGATAGAGCCCGAGCCCTCCCAGGCCTCTCAGGTACCTCCCACAGCCCCCATCCCAGCAGTCCAGAGTCAGCAGGCCAGGGGAAGCAGGTGCCTTTCCTGCCCTTCCCTCCCCTCCCTCCTACCTGGGATGGTCACGTGCCACACCAGCACAGGGTGGAGGAAGCAGGCCACTGACAGCAGCATGTAGGCTAGGAACTTCTGGAAGCAGCCCAGCCAGTGGGCCTTCTCCCTGGCCGCGTAGGCCAGAGATCCCGGCTGGCACCTGGGAGGGAGGTGGGGTTAGCAAGGCCTGGAGAGCTGGGCGCCCTGTGTGTCAGTCTGCTGCAGCAGCCTGTCTGAACTTCTCACTGCCTGGCTTCACAGAAACCTGGGGGCCTCACTGTGATTCCACAGTGGGAGCCTTCACTGGCCCCTCCAGAAAAGGCTGCCAATGTGTCTTTGTGGCTGAGGGCAAAGGAAGGTAAGTGAGAGGCCCAGGGCCTCATGGGAAATCTGCAGCCCAGGGGAGGCGGGTGCATGGGAGCATCCCAGTCCTCGGGGCTTGGCCGGGTTAGTCAGGCCTAGTGGGTTGTGAGGATTCCTTCTTCACAGGCACGGCGGACCGTGGATGGGCTCCATGGCCAGCAGCACCAGGGCCAGGCTGGCTTTGGGGAAGTGATGTGGGCCAGGGGTCAGGGTCACCAAGCCCCGTGATGCAGCTCCCTGCTGCCCCCTGCTGGCTGTGTGCACACGCGCTTATGTGTGTTGGGGGTGATGGTGGCTGCAATGCTGTCCAATGCCCTTTCACACCACACCCACAGTCCTTCCCCAGGCCTCTGGCAGTGGGTACAGCCAGAAGGGCAGCACAGGGGACTCCTAGCAGAGGTTCATGGCACCTGATCTGTCCTGGTACTCATGCCCAGCCCTGCTCCCTAAGCTGGCCCTTTTTGGGGGGATGACTGGATACTGGGCCCTTGGGATCCTTCCTGGTCAGGGACATTAACTCCTCAGGATCGGGGAGAGACCATCCCTGGATGGATCTGTCACTTGGTTCCTTGTCTGGGAGCAGGGCAAGGGAGGCGCTGAGCCTTCTCCTGCCAACACTGGCCAGAGGCAGGATGTCCCCTCCACAGCCCACAGACAGAAGCGACTAAGTACACTTACTTAAAGCAGATGGTCAGCAGCTGCGCCACGAAGTAGGCCCCTTCGCACACGGCAATGGCACTGCCTGTGAACCTGCAGTGGGGACAGGTGGGGCGGCCCCTGCGTGGACCTGATTTCCTGACAACCACATTCCCAGGTGTGCCCAGTGCCAGGCCTGGCAGGAGGTGGTATCACCAGCAGCAGCCTCCCTACTGCAGTCACCAGGGCCAATACCCATGCCTGGCAGGACCAGGTAGACCCACAAACCCCGAACTCCTCCCTCTTTCCCATGTCCAGGCACTGGAGCACTGGCTGTGACCCCCAAACTCCTCTCTGGCCCCACTGCACTGCCTGGGCCCAGTCCAGCCTGGCCATCCCCATCCAGGCCCTGCCCCTGCTCCTCCGTGGTCACACCTGGTTTCTGGCTCCTTCTGATCTTACGTCTCCCAATCCAGAGTGCCTGGACCGAAGGGGACACTGGGGTCAACCTTCCTGCACATGTGTGAAGTCACAGATTCAAGAGCCCCCTTCCTGGACTTTAGGTACCAGTACCTTGGGGAGTGTTGCTTAAATGTTTTGTTTTTGTTTTGGATAACTTCGCTGGTCCATAAAACCAAAATCTCTCAGCATCCTTCCAAATTGTTCATAGACTTCCACATTCCTCAAATGTGTGGGAAGCTATCAGGTGCCTCAGGGCCTTTGCATAACTCATTCTTGTCACAAGGCCACCTTCCCTGGCTTGTTTCTCTAATAACATCTTGCTTCTTTGTGCTGAAGCATGTGACCAAAGCTGCTGTCTGTGAAATGCAGGGAGTGTCTGAGCCCAGCCCGCTGGCTGGGTAAGTGTTCTGGGAATGTGGCCACAATGAATGGATGCGTGAGGGAAATGCTTGCTGCAGGGGAAGACAGCTCAAGGACAGGGTCCACTTAAGGCCATGGGTGTTGCCTGGTTCCCATCAGCTTTGTGACCACGGGTGGGAGGTTTGAACTTCCTGTGACTTGCTTTCCCTGCTCTAAACTGGGTAATGACAGTGCTTTAACTCATGTAAGTCATGAATTAATGTTATAAGGTTCCCAGGACTGGCCTCAGCATAGGCATATGACAACCACTATGCAAATGTCAGTTGGTCCTGCTCCCCACCGCCTCTCTCACCATGGGGTTGTTCATTACCTTCTTCCCTCTCTCTGCCTCCCCCAGTGTCTGCCCCACTTTTAACCCTCAGTCCTAAAAAGGATAATAACTAACATTTCTAGTGTGGTTGCTGTGTGCCAAGAACAGTTCTCAAAGTTTTGCAACACTGGCTCCCTTGGCCCTGGCAGCCCTTTTCCGATCGACACTGGTTCAGCTTACAAAGGAGGGTACCAAAGCATAGAGAGCTCCAGCCCCCTGCTGTGGTCACGTGCCCGGGCAGGATCAGAAGCCAGGCGTGGACCCAGCACTTAGCAACCAGCCCTGTGACCATGCACACTCAGGCCGATGCTTTGGAAAGGCAGAGGCAGAGCCCTACTTTGCCTTTGGCGGGGCAGAAGGGAGGTTGATGCTGGGGAACCAAGGTGCAGATGTCCTGTCTGGTCCTAGTAGGGTGTGACCTGTGGGTTGGAGTACAGGGCATGGAGGTTCAGGCTCATGGGCAGGGGTCCTGGGGCCCTTCAAGGCACATGGAGCAGTCAGGGAGAGGCAGGGCCAGGTGGGTGATGTCTGCGTTAATGCCAGGGCCAGACAGAGCCTGGCATAGAGGCGGGGTGGAAGGTGTGGAAAGCAACAAAGCAAGAAAAGGTCACCTGGGGCAGCAGGGACTTCAGGCTGGCCCAGTGCTCAGGGCAGGATGCTGGGGGAGGGAGGTCTCAGCAGTCCCTGGGGGAGTTGGTCTCAGCAGCCCTTGGTGGGCCACGGCACCCATGCTCCGTGGCGTGGTGGATATATCCAAGGGTACAGCAGAGCAGTGTGGAATACAGAGCAGACTGAGCTGGAGGGCACTGCTGAGGTCTTCCGAGAGACCCACGTGTGGAGGTGCAGTGTAAACAGGGCAGGGAGGGTGGCCCCTGGGCCAAAGGGCAGCAGGGGTGCTGCAATGGGTGAAGCTGCTCAGGACCTGGCATCCACTACAGCACAGCAGCCCCGTGGGTTGGGGGAGTGGAAGGCACAGCCCGAGACCCCAGAGATCACTGTAGCTCTCAGCTTGGAGTCCTGGGGCCTCTGGGTACTGGAAGGAGCTGCTTCCTTCAGTGCCAGGAGGAGATAACCAGGAGGCCATGGTATGAGGACCAAGGTCTAAGCCTGGACATCACCACACCCTGACCTCCTTCCTGTCAGGGGCAGCTTGTGGGCAAGGAGACATGACAGGGGCTGCAGAACCTGGACCTGCTGCTTAGAGCTCACTGGTGTTGGCACTGCCCGCTCCCTCTGAATTTCCCCCCTCCTCAACCAGGCCAGTGTGCCCCTGTCCTAAGGACTGGGGGTCAGCAGAATTAAATGAGGTGATGCAAATGAGACACTGAGTTGCTCTTGATGTGTGGGAGAGCTCAAATCTACAGCTCATGACCATGACCCAGCTTCCAAATGGGACCTCTGTTTCGGTTTCCTAAATAGAGTTGATCAACGGGATACATGGGGTAGATGGGTAGACAGATGGACATGTAGGTAGACGGGTGTGGTAGACAGGTGAATGAACAGATGAGTGAGTGGGTGGATAAGTATACAGGTAGGTGGATGGATAGATGGATGGATGGATGGATGGATGGATGGTTGGATGGATGGATGGATGGATGGATGGATGGATGGATGGATGGATGGTTGGATGGTTGGATGGATGGATGGATGGATGGATGGATGGATGGATGGGTGCATGGTTGGATGGATGGATGGTTGGATGGATGCATGGATGGATGGATGAATGAGTGGATGGATGGCTAGGTGAAGGGGTGGTGAGTGAATGGATGAATGAATGGATAGGTGAGTGGATGGGTGAGTGGATGATTGGATGGATGGAGGTACAGTTGGTTTATCTAAGGAATAGTCTATCTATACCAGGCATTATCCTAGGAACTTCCTGGACTTCCCCCACTCTGATATAGAGTTGGTACCTCTGGGTTAATGCACATGGACAGGTGTGGGGTGAGTGGGCAGCCCTGCAGTGGGGAGGGCTGGGAGTGTGTACTCACAGGAGGTAGAAGGCCAGGCTTTTGAACTGCCCCCGGAGGAGGGTCTCAGTGCCCACGCTGATCAACACTGAGGAGTGAGAGGAGAGGCAGAGTTGTCCAGGCGCCCACACAGTGGTACTGCCCTGTAGAGGGCCTCGGCTGTGGGGAGCCATCTCCCTTGGCTGAGGCTGGTCATTTCTTCTCCATGGCATCAGTGGCTGGGGCTGAGAAGGCACAGGAGAGCCCAGGGGCCAGCCCTTGTGTTTCCACAGAGCAGCTTAGTGGTGCCAACATCCCTGGGTGCTCCTGCTTTTGAAATGCAGCTGTGCCCCTGCACACATCGTCCTTCTAAAACCCTCACTGTCCTGTGCTCTGTGTCTGAGCTGCAGTGTGTAGCCAGGGCAGACCTGTCCCACCCATCTCTCACCTAGCTGCCTGCCAGCACAACCCTTTGTCTCTAGTGGACATGATGGCTGCATCTCACACACACTCGTGGCTCTGGGTCTGGTGCTGGTCACACCACCAGGTCCCCTCCTCTCCCTTCCTTCCCTGCATTGGTGCATGCACTGGAACATCAGCCAGCACAGCTTTGACTTGCCCAGCTGCAGTTGAGGACACCATAGGGACAGTGTGTGGCCCTTGTACAGGCTTCTCTGCTCCCTTGTGGTCACACCTGTGTTTCTCTCTCTGGTGACACCACTGTGCATGTGCCCTGCCCACTGCTCCCCAGAGACAGCCATTGTTCCTCTCTTTCCTGGGTCCTGGCCCTTCCTCTCTGCCCACAGAGATACCCTGTGGACTCCCCTTCTCATGTCCTGTGTGAAAGGGACTCTTTATTTCCTGTACAGCAGGAAGGAGTCACCTGCACCTCATTGTCACTCTGGGCAATGTTGGGAGAGGAGAATCAAGCCCCTCGATCTAGGCAGGACGAGGAGGCAATGCTGTCTGACACAGGGCTTGGGTACCTTCCCTGCCACAGGGCAAGTGTGCCGGGAACTATATGCTCCACCCCAAGTCCTGCTCTGCTCTGGTGCCAGCCAGAGCTGTGACAGTAGCCATCCTCCCCATCACCATGGTGTTGGCTTTCTCAGTGATGAGTGTCTCAGAGCATGCATGTGCATGCACACACACACACACACACACACACACACACACGGGTCACCCATGCCCCTGATCTTCCCATATCACAGAGGGGCACAGTAAAGCTCATGACCTTCACCACATTACTTGTGCTGGGAACAGAGGATTCAGGGCCCAAGCTGGTGTCTTCGGGTTCCTGGAGCTGGGCCCCACGCCTACTGCCCAATAGGGTGAGTGAGTGTGGGTGCTGGCGAGTGTGTGCATGTGCTGTGCAGTCAGAGGCCACTAACCCAGCACCCACCATGCACTCTGTTCTGGCGCAGCACCTGCCATTTGTTACCTCATCTGGTCATTGTACCAATCACCCCCATTTTACAGCCGAGGAAACAGAGGCACAGACAGTATCAGCAAAGCAGTCAGCAGCCATAGAGACCCGGGTCAGATGCTGCGCTGCAGTCTCACGTTTTCCAGTTAATACCTGAATTGCTCTGTCTCCCCAAGACTCAGTTTCCCCATTGTACCTCTGGCACAGAATAGAGAGGAGGATTTGGTGAGCTCCATACAGGAGTGCAGTGAACTTGCTTGTTAGTTTTTGGTAATAAGGGGTCACCCTGTCTGCAGAAGGAGAACTCCCCACTCAGGGATGGGGTCTGGCTTCCAGAAGGGCCTCTGACTCAGGGCCAGGGGCTGAGCTTGTGCCTTCTTTGGGCAGGCAGTGGTCATGGTCTTGGCTGAGCTGTGTGGTTGGGCTAGTGACAGGCAGGTGACAGGAAGGATCTTAGAACCCAGTCCTCCTCCTGCTGTGCACTATTGGCATGTGGAGGGCAGTCCTGGTGGGTAGTCACAGGAGCCTCAGGTGTCTGGGTCTGGGAGCTCTCTAGATGTGCCAGTTGCTTTCTGTCCCCAAGATGCCACCACACACCCAAATTGCAGCGGCCCTTTGTGCGCATCCTGTTCAATCTGCACATCTGTTAGGTGGGAACGGGCAGCCCTGATACTCATGAGAAGCCCAATAGGTCCCCAGGTGCAGCACCTGCACAGATGCATAGGGTACAGGGAGGGGAGAAGCCAGAGTCTGGGAGCGAGTGAGGGTGGTGGCCACTGGGCCCTGACCCCCAGCAGGGGTCAGAGAATGACAGGGATGAGGATGGTGAGGGCCACAGGACTTTCCTGGAGCCTCCTGGGCACTGCAGGGGAACCTGAAGAGGGAGCCCCAAGTTAGTCCTGACAGTGGAGTCCTGCATCCCCCAAGCCCAGCTGTGGAAGGGTTCACAGTCTGTATCAGCCCAAGGTAAGAAGCCACCTCTCAGTGCCTCCCTGACCCTGGCACCCATGGTCTTCCTGATTGTCAGAGAGCTCAAAGCTGGGGGCCTTTGGAGCTTCAGTCACAAAGGATCTCAGGTCCCCTTCGTGCCAGGGATCTGGAAAGCATGAGGCTGCCCAGGAAGTGCCCAACTGAGCCAGGGCAGACAGTCCAGATCCACAATCAAAGAGATGCCAAGGACCGGAGCAGCCCCAGGGCTTTGGGATGGACCCGCATCCTTTGCCAAGTGGTCATGGGACAGATGCACATTATTTGCACCAGGGTGAAGCTGTTTCCCAAACCCTGTATCTAGGCTTAGCAGCGTGACTTCCTTTAGGCCTCAGGGTGCTACCAGGCACAATACAAACAGGCATTCAACAGCTCCAAAGCCAGCGCCTCAAGCACGCACCTGGGCCAGCTTGCCAGAGCACGAGGTGCCCACAGAGCAGGGCCACAGTGTCACTGCAGCCAGCACCAGGCTGGAGAGGTTGTCTAACCTCCCAGGAAGGGACACACAGTCCATCTACTGCAGCAGTGAGCCCTGCTTGCTCGCCTGAAGTAGGAACAGCAAAGTTATGGTCTACAAGCTGCACAGGTCCAGCTGCGGTTACACAGCACAGATAACCTCCCCTTTAGGACGGCTTCATCCAGGTGCACTTAACCTGCACACACTGCACTTACATAAAGAACAGCCTGATAAGCAGTGGTGTTTGTCTGTATCCATACAGCCGCCACTATGATCAGGAGAATGAACCTCCCCCAGATTTTCTGCTATGGTGTCATAGTATCCCTACCATCCCAGCCGTCTGTGTTGCAAGAGATTAGTCTGTATTTCCCACTAGTCTAAATCAGTAGAGTCCACAGCAGGTACAGTGCTCATCTCTGGACTGTCTTCTTCCTCCAGCATCACTGTTTCCAGATGCATGCATGCCATTTGTCTGAAGGTCACACCTCTCTGGCTGAGTGGTACTCTACGGGAAGATGAACCTCAGTTTGCTTCCGTCTCACCTACGTATGGGCACATGGGTTGCAGCTATAGAGGAGGCTGCAGTGGCCACTTGTCTGCTCTTTGAATGGTCACATGCTTCCTTTGTTCTTGAGTACCAATTTGCAGTGGAATGGCTGGATCCCGTGGCAGGTGTATGTTTCCCTTTTGAGAAACTGTCCAACCTTTTCCAAATTGATCACCCCACTGGGCAACCCCACAAGTGCCATGTGAGTGAGCTTCACACCTTTGTCTGCATGGTAGCACTTGGTATGGGGGCAGCCTGCTCATACAAGCCCCTGTGATCGGTGGGAAACAGCACTTATAGGTGGTCTGGATTGTGTCCTCCTAATGGCTAACGATGGAAACATCTTTTCACGTCCTTACCTGCCACCCTATTTTCTTTCTTTCTTTCTTTCTTTCTTTCTTTCTTTCTTTCTTTCTTTCTTTCTTTCTTTCTTTCTTTCTTTCTTTTCTTGTCTTTTTTGAGACGAGGTCTTGCTATGCAGTTCAGGCTGGCCTTGAGCTCACTTTATAGCCCAGGCTGGTCTCGAACTCTCAACGATCCTCCCACCTCAGCCTCCAGAGTACTGGGATTACAGGCGGGAGCCACCACGCCTGGCTTGCCACCCTATTTTCTTTGTAGGCTTTGATTTTCTCTGTCCCGACTAGTTTTGAAGAAGCAAGTTTTAGATTTTGATGGAATCCAATATGTCCATTCTTTCATGAATTGGACTTTGTGTCTAGGAAATTCCCACACACCTGTCACTGAATCTGTGTCCTGTTGTCTAGGACTGTTACAGTTTCAGGATTTACGCGTAGGTCCACGATCTATTTTGAGCCTTTGCAGGGAGCGGGGGACATGGTGCAAAGTACACACAAAAGGTCACTAATAAATGAATGGGCAGTGTTCCACCACCACCAGCTGTCACAAGTCACATTTGCCACACTGAAATGCCTCTGTGCTTTTCTCAAAACTTGGTTATTTACACATATCCAGGGTTATTTCTGGTTATTTCTGTCTCATTGATCTGTTTGTCTTTCTTTGCATCAATACTGCACTGTATTGGTTTCTTTGTTTTAAAATAAGACTTAAAATGAGTCAATATTAATGCTCTGACTGTTATTTGTTTTTGTAGTTGTTTGCATGATATTAGATCTTTTACCATTGCCATGTGAATTGTAGATACGGCAGTCAATTTCCTCAATCTCAAGCCTCCTGAGATTTTGAATGGGACTGCAGCAAAGCTTTTTAACAGTATTAAGTCTTCTGCTCCATGGACAAAATATATTTTCTGCATTTATTTAAGATTTAGGTCTTTATGATTTCTCAGCAAAACCTTTTGTTTTCTAGTATACAAGTTTTTAAAAATATCTCTTGTCAGATTTATCTCTAGTTCATGTTTTTGATGTAATATGAATTGTATTTAAATGTTTTCATTTTCTAATTTTTTCTGGTATGTGGACATGCAGGTGAATACAGCAAATATTCCTCATTTAATGACCTACGTGTTTAACGACGGTTCATACTTATGACCAAGGAGCTGTCTCAGGCTTACCGCCTGCTAGTTAGACTTATGATCTATTTTTTTGCATAGTTATCACATCTTTTTTATTGAGCCTCCATATCTATTTTGCACAGCACATTTAGATATTATATATCCTGACTTGCTGAGTATACTGTACTGTACAGTACTGCAGATTTATGTTCTGTTACACA